TCTAGTGCTGAGCCTAGCGGGTGTAGTGGGGCTCAGGGGGCGACCGAGGGCTCCCCCTGGCGGCGGCCTGAGCTCCCCGCAGGTTGCAAAAAGCCCAGTCCCTGACTATCCTTCCGAGAACCAGGACCCGACTCCAGATCCCAAGTTCGCGGTCGTCTTCCCCAGGATCCACACGGCAGGGAGGGCCTCACGCAGACGTAGTTCAGAGGAAGGGTCCGCGGATCCCCCCGCCGGGGAGATGCGCATTTGGCCTTGTGCAGGGGCTTCAGGAGACAGTGAGGGGCACAGGGCTAGTGGAGAAGGGGTGGCCGAGCCCCTCCACAGCTCTCTCCTCGGCCCAACTTTCTCCGACGAGCCCCCACTCGACGAGAGCAGCTCCAGCAGCGAGGCGGAGCCGGAGACCTTGGGAGCCGAGGCTCCAGTGCACTGGGCGCAGAGCTCGGACGCCCATGAGGACCCTGGGCTTGGCACCGAAGCACTGCTGCCCCGACTCACCTTGGAGACCCGCCTGCGGCGGGAGAGGAGCCCAGGCCCCCGCGGGTCCCTGAGGGATCGGTGGGAGCCGGAGGATGAGGCCGAGGAGGCGCTGGAGAGAGAGCTGGAGCTGAGCCTCGGGCCGGGCCTGGAGGCGCTACCATTTTCCGGCCTCGGGGACGGCCTAGAAGACACCGAGGACCTAGCCCGGCTGCGGTGAGAGGGCGCGGTGCCAAATCTACCGTGCCCTGGGTCACACTTGCCCGTATCCCATTCTACTCCCATTTTTATGAATTGTGTCCTTAGAAGGGATTTTGCCTCACAAAAGGTCGCTTGGCTGGAAGGGGTAGGTGAGAGGAGAAAATCAGGTGCCCCTTCCTTCCCTAACTGGCACAAGGCTTCCCTCTGGGTTGGTGGCCTAGTCCTGCTTGTGGCCCCCACAGAGGCCCCTATGTCATGGGGGGAGCTCCCAGATGGTACATGACCCTAACTGTGCAGCCAGTGCTTCTGTCCCCAACACCCTGCTCCTCTACCCTGCTTCCCTACAGGCTGGTGTGTGACAACTCCATTCTGCTCTGCCTCAAGAAGAGGTTTCACCTGGGCCGAATCTATGTATGAGGCTGGGATTCTCTTTCCCCTGGGATCAGAGGGCTTCCCTCCAGCCCCCCTAGAGCCTCTCCCTCCTTCCTTCTCCCTGGGCTGGAGGAAGTCCTCTCTGGGGTCCTGCAGAGCAGGGCAGGGGCTGGGGGGATCAAAGGTCCACTCCATTTGTATCACCTGCTCCCTCCATGTTCTGGTGAGAGCTTCTGCTTTCTTCCCAGACCTTTGGGGGGCCCCTCCTGCTCGCTCTGAACCCCCACCGGCCCCTGCCTCTCTTCTCACCTGAGGTCATGGCTAGCTACCTTCCCAGGAAGGCCCCCAACACCACCCCGTAAGTGAATTTGTCACAGCAGCCCCCAGGTGGCTAAGCCCCAGCGTGTCCCACTGATTGAGGACCTGGGGACAGTGGGCGTGACCTGCCTGCACCCAAGAGGGCCCCAGATGCCCACCTCCAGTAACCTTCTCATCTGCTCCCATCCTCCCCTAGACACATCTTTGCCATTGCGGCATCAGCCTATATCCTGTCTCAGAGCACTGGGCAGGGCACATGCATCCTCATGGGGTGAGTGGTGTCCGCCCTGCACGGTTGAACCCTCAGGCCACACTGAGGGCTGGAGTAGGGGGGATGTGAGGGCTGCATTTGAAACTGCCAGTCTGATACACTGCTGGGTGGCAGCTCTGGACTTCCTAAGACTGCACTCCTGGCTGAAGTCACCACGTGTGTCCCTTGAATGTGGCATCTTGGGGGCTATTTTTTTTCTGTTTGGTATCTATGTCCTGGCTCTGTTTCTGCGTTTCTGGGAGTCTCATTTAGGGTAGGTGTCACTTCCAGGTGGGCATAGCCCCACTTTGGGGCTCAGGTCATCCTATGTGCCCCTTCCTGGAGACACTGCCAGCCCCTCCCTCCTGCAGTGGGCCCAGTGGCTCTGGGAAGACAGAAGCTGCGAAAAAGATTGTGCAGTTCCTAAGTAGCCTGGAGCAGGAGCAGACGAGGGACAGAGGGTGTCAGGTGAGGGGCAGCTGGCCATTTACCAGAGATCCAAGAGGGACCATCCTACTCCTTTGGGCCAGGAAGATGGTCTTCAGGCCTCTGGCTTCTCGGGGGCAGTCCCAGGCATTGTCTCCTGTGGGAGCAGGGTGGGCTGGGGGCACTGACACCCCCATCGCCACGGACCAACAGAGCTCCTGGGTACAGTGTCCTCAGCTGGGATGCCTGGTCAGTGGGCACCTCTGCTGCCACAGGGGATACCTGAATGCCCCTTCCCCATCCAGCTGGATGATGTGCTGCGCATGCTCAGCAGCTTTGGCCATGCCAAGACAGTCCTCAATGCCAATGCCAGTCGCTTTGGCCAGGTCTTCTGCCTCCGCCTGCAGCAGTGAGTGATGGGGGTCCAGGTGGGCAGGGGCATCCATGATCAGTTCCCTTTATTGGGAACCTGAGGCTGCTGCCCCTTGGTCCAGCCCACGGTAGGTCCCATTCTGAATGGGGCCGCCGGGTTGCATGTACCTTGGGTCCCCTCACCAAGTGTCCTGTGCCCACAGCGGGGTCGTCCTGGGGGCATCTGTGTCACATTACCTGCTTGAGACCTCAAGAGTGGTGTTTCAGGTAAGACCCTCCCTGCTGCTTCCAGAGTGGGAAAAGGGGAGGGGCCACTGTAAAGGACTGTCATCCCTCCGCCCCCGGACTTGCCTTCCCTAGGACTTGTCCTTGGTCCCCTGGGACACATGGAAGCCATTGCTTCCCCTAAGCCAGTCCTTCCCCACTAGGCCCAGGCTGAGCGGAGCTTCCACGTTTTTTACGAGCTTCTGGCGGGGCTGGACCCCATGGAACGGGAGCAGCTCTCCCTACAGGGGCCGGAGACCTACTACTATCTCAACCAGGTGGTGCTGGGTGGCAGGACCTGCCCAAGGATGGGTCTTGGGGCAGGCATTTGAGAAGAGGGAGGCTGTGGGTGGCCAGGCCCTGCCCCCGCTCCCCTCACCCTTGCTGTGCTCTGCAGGGCAGGGCCTGCCGGCTCCAGGGCAAGGAAGATGCCCAGGACTTCCCAGGACTGTTGAAGGCCCTGCAGGCACTGGGCTTGTGTGCCGAGGAGTTGACTGCAGTCTGGGCTGTGCTGGCCACCATCCTGCAGCTGGGCAACATCTGCTTCTCCTCTTCAGAGGTGAGCTTCCTCTGAGGCACTTTATTCGTGGTGGCTTATTTGCATAATCAGGGCAGCAATAATGATGCCAAACACTTGTGTGTCAGAGAAAGCAAAGCCCTCACCACTGCCCTGGAAAGCACATGAACTCCCATTGTATAGATGAGAAAACTGAGACTTGGGTCCTCTGCATCTATACCAGTTCTGTCCCACTAAGCTGCCAAGGATACTTGGCATTAATTATCCTAAGAAGGCTAGTTAGCATTAATTGAGCAGCTATTATGTACCTGACACTCGTGTAAATCACTTTACTTTTTTTTAAGGAGTTGCGTCTGAATTTTTGTATGTTTCTCACTAATCTTCATTGTATTATACACTTGTTAAGTTGACATACTTTAGAAATGATAGCCTTTTTGGACAAGCTCAAAGCAAAAGAAATGTGATGAATGTGGGATTTGTTAGAAAATCTTTTTTTTTAATTGAAGTGTAGTTGATTTATGATGATGTGTAGTTTTCTGGTGCACAGCATAGTGATTCAATCACACACAGATATATTCTTTTTCATTTTCCTCTCCGTTATAGGTTATTACAAGCTCTTGAATGTAGTTCCCTGTGCTGTACAGCAGGACCCTGTTGTTGATCTGTTTTATATAGAGTAGTTTGTATCTGTTAATCCCAACTCCCAATCTATTCCTGCCCCCCACATGTATTTTCTCATTCAGTTCTCCTGACAACGCAACACCGTAACATGAAGGTTATGGTTTCCCCTTTTACCAGTAAGACAATGGGGGCTCAGAGAGGGAAAGAGACTTGTCAGGGCCGGCCAGCTAGTGAGAGGTAAAGGCAGGATTCACACCCAGGGTCCTCAGACTCCAGAGCTGGCTCCTACCTTCCCAGATCTACCTTCGGATAATAGGGCACCTTGCCAGGCAAAGCATGGCCCCGGCCCTGCCCTGTGGGATGTGGCTGTTCCACATGCAGGGCTCTCCCTGCTCCCTCCCTCCTCTGTCCAGAGGGAGTCCCGAGAGGTGGCTGCCGTGTCCAGCTGGGCCGAGATCCACACAGCAGCCCGGCTGCTGCGGGTGCCACCTGAGCGCCTGGAGGGGGCTGTCACCAGGAGGGTCGTGGTGAGCTCGAGGGCCCTGGGGAGGCAGGGACCTGACGGGCCTGCCTGAAGTCTTGGGGGGCACCAGTGTGGGCCTTGGGCCTGACATACCACCTGCACCTCCTCTGCCCTCAGGAGACGCCCTACGGCCAGGTCTTGAGATCCCTGCCTGTGGAAAGTGCCATCGATGCCAGGTGGTCCTGGGGGCAGGAGAGAGGTGTAAGTGGGCCTGGAGCCGTGCTGCTCGTGGCTCACCCACCACACCCACAGGGACGCCCTGGCCAAGGCCCTGTACTCGCGGCTCTTCACCTGGCTTCTGAGGAGGAGCAACGCATGGCTGGCACCCCCCGCGGAGGGAGGCAACGCGGACACTGTCACTGTCGTGGACGTCTATGGCTTTGAGGTCCTCCTTGGGGTGGGGCCCAGGAAGGCATGCCCACTTCATGCTGGTTACTTCTGGGGACCCCAGCAGCTCTCCTGTGGGGACCCTGGTGCATTGCTGGCCTGTCTGACCATAAGATGGTCCATGAGACAGCTATCCTGTCCAGTTCTGACATAACCTCTGGAAAGTTCTATCCTGCTTGGCCTTGCAGAGTCTCACAGGAGCCTCTAAGGCAGCAAAAGACCCTAGGATGGGTCAGCCCACAGCCTTACTCCCATGTACCAAGAGAGGGAAGAGAGAGAATTCCCCAGACCACCCTGAGTTTTCATAAGCCCTTCATCCCTTTCCAGAAGATCTGCCTCCTCAGGGCAGGGAGGAGGTGGCCCCGACCTCAGCCCCTGGATGGGCACTGTTCACTCTCCCCTGCTGTCTCCTCTCCAGTGTGTCCTTGGTGACCATCCCCTCTCTGAGGAGGGGATGACCGTGGCGTGTGTGTGTGAATGCACACAAGTATGTACTTTTGTGTGTGTTTTAGAGTGTGTCAGAAGTCTGTACAAAGATACATGAAGTGGGGGCTCTGCTGGGCTTATTAGTAAAGTGCTAGTGGCGGTGGGGGGGGGGGGACAGAGGAAGGAGCCTGCATTCCTACAGGAGGAATGTTGGAAGGCTTCTTGGAGGCAGCATCCTGGAGCCTTGCTTATGCGGATGTGGGATTCTGGTAGTCAGGGAGCTAGGTCATGGGAGAAGCTGCCTTCCAGGCCACAGGATGGCTATGACCAGAGGCCTGAGGGCTCACAGTCATGCTGAGGCAGAGGGCAGGAGTGTGGGTTCTTGGGGGAGGCCTGACTGTGGCTGGGGCAGGGCCGAGGTGGCCTGCACACTGTCAGGGTCTTTGGGGTTGACCCTGGAGGCTGAAGCATCAGCCCTGGGGCAGCACTCCTGCCTAGAGCCAGGGAGAATGTGGGCAGCTGTGGGAGGGGATGAAGGATACTGGCCTGGGCACTGGCCCTTATAGCTACCCTGTGCACCCTCCCTCGTGTGGGTGCCCCCTCACTGCCCACGTGCCCCCAGGCGCTGCGAGTCAATGGCCTGGAACAGCTGTGCAACAACCTCGCCAGCGAGCGCCTACAGCTCTTCTCCAGCCAGATGCTGCGGGCCCAGGAGGAGGTAGAGGGAGCTGGGAATGGAGGTGGCAGGGGGACACCCAGCTATTTCCCAGGACAGAGGACATCCCTGGTAAAGAGAGGGCATGGCACTGAGAGTTCTGCCCCAAAACCCCCTTGCTATGGGCCGCCTCAGTCCTTCTGAGCCTCAGTTTACTCATCTATAAAATGGGAAGGCCACCCCTGCTCTGGCTCAAATGAGGTTCCCCACAAACACGGGCAGTCTCTATAAACCAGTGCTGGCTATTCCCAGGAGGAGTGTCAGCGAGAGTTGCTGCCCTGGGTGCCCATCCCCCAGCCTTCGCAGGAGTCCTGCCTGGATCTCCTGGTAGACCAGCCCCACAGCCTCCTCAGTATCCTGGATGCCCAGACATGGCTGTCTCAGGTGAGCCCCCAGTGTAGGGTACAAGGAGTGGGAGCCCTGGTGGCCAAACTGGAGCCCCTGGGACCTCCCAGGGCAGCAATCTGGTGATGAAGTCCTGTGACCCTGCCCACAGGCCCTCAGCACAGCCTGGAAGGCAGGGGCCAAACTGGGTTCAGATCCCATCTCTGGGTGATCTTGAGTGAGCTGCCCACATCTCTGAGTTTCCTTGAGTCCTGGCTGCAGAAGGGGACAATAGTGCCTGAGGGGCAGAGTGGTGGGGACTATACAGGGCTCATGAGGAGCTTGTGAGGGGGCCTCAAGCCAGTAGGGGGCAAACATCAGGACCCTGGTGCACACTTCCAATAAATACTGACTGCCTTCCACCCACTCCTACCTGATGGCTCCCTTGTTCCTCTCCAGCCTCTCCCCTACTTTGTTTTCCGACACTCACGTCCACAAGCAATTATGGTATTTATTTATTCATTGACTCTGCCCTGTGCTAGACTGAGCTCTGTAAGGGCTGGGTCTTCGTCTAAAGAGTTGAAGCCCTACTCACAGAGCCTGACACACGTTAAGGGTTCCTCAAATATTGAATACATGAGTGAGTGTGTGTATATACGTGCCAGGAACTGTGCTAGGGGTAAAAAACGGGCAAAATAGAACCACCCCTCCCCTCTGAGAGCCTGCAATGTAACCGGAGAGAGATGTTAATTAAAAACACACATGCACAGAATCGAACACAAAACCACAGCTGTGTGGAGCTGTGGGCGGGTGTGGGGGCCAGGAGAGCTCGGTGGGGGCTTGTGCCTTCCCTGGGGTCTGAGGCCATAGAAGCGAAATACACCATGACCCCTAAAATGAGATGACCTTTCTGCCCAATTAGAGGTTCAAAATGAAAGTGGCAAAATAACAGTAAAATAGTCAAATGTGATTGTAATAGTTCATTGATCAATAAAATATGAATATAAAAGTATATAATATATAATGGGTATGAGCATGTAAAAATATGTTCTATTAATATATAATATTTCTTAACAGTCATATGTATTCGAAATCTATCACTCGATAAATACTATGTTAATTCATTAATGATTGCTTTTCCCAGTTCACCTTTCATCAAGTTTTATTGAAACTGGTCACAGGCATCTTTTGTCTGGAATCCTCCGGCTTGGTTCAGCAACACCACCTAGGTCTCCATTATTTGCTTCAAATAACCTCTCAAGCTGGTGTTGGGTGTTGACCCTGGAATTGTTACCCCCAGCTTCATGTCCTGTTTATATATAAGGCAGGCTTCCCCAAGTATCTGTTGTTATGAATTCCTTAGCTCCATGCAATAGCCTCTTACTGGGTGACTTTTTAGAAGTACTTTGAAAGACTTGTTTAGATACACCTGTCACTGTGAGACCAGACTCCCAGGAGTGATGGCTAAATCTGCCTTAAATTCCCCAAGCCACGTTTCCTTTAAATGATTTTATCAAGCATCCCCCAAGCCACCAAATCTTTATTGACTGAGGTTTCTGTGCGTGAGGCTACTGTGTCTTTCTCAGATAGCACTCGATTGTTCAAAACAGTCACTGGGAAAGAGACCGCGCCCTTTATAAGGACCCAGATACGGAGCGACTCTTCCTGAAAAAGAAGTTTGGGGAACAAAACCAAAGCTCACTTTCTGTCTGTGGTCCCTGGGGGCAGGGGAGGACGCACAGTCCCGGCAGGGGAACAGCATGAGCATGCAAAGGCCTGAGAAGCTCTTCCTCTTGCCAGGCCACGGACCACACCTTCCTGCAGAAGTGCCACTACCACCACGGTGACCACCCATGCTACGCCAAGCCCCAGCTGCCCCTCCCCATCTTCACCGTGCGTCACTATGCCGGAACTGTCACCTACAAGGTATCAGGGTGAATCAGGGCAGACTCCTGGGTGAGTCAGTGAGGGCAATGTGGCCCTGGTGAGTCACCTGACAGGTGATAGGAGTAAGTGTGGGGAGGCCCCTTCTGAGTCTTGGCCATCTGTCCCTACCTGGGCCCTCGGCCTCGCTCAGGGCATGATTTATTGTGGGGGTGGGGGAGATAATTGGGCTTTTTTTTTTAGTTTATTTGGCTTTTTAAAATTTTTTAAATTTATTTTTAAATTTTTTATTCTTGAGTTTTATTTGGGGGGGAGATAATATTTATTTTATTTATTATCATTACTTTTTTCCTTAACGAAGGTACTAGGGATCAAACCCAAGACCTTGTGCTTGCTAAGCATGTGCTCTACCACTGAGCTATATCCTCCCCACCCCTTAATTTTTTTTTAAATGGAGGTACTGGGGATTGAACCCAGGACCTCGGGCATGCTAACCCTAAGCACAGGCTCTACAACTGAGCTATTCCCTCACCCCCCAGTTTGTGTCATATTTTAGATTCCATATGTAAGTGACATCACATGATATTTGTCTTTCTCTTTATGGTTTACTTCACTTAGCATGATTATCTCTAGGTCCATCCATGTTGCTGCAAATGGCATTATTTCATTTGTTTTTTATGGCTGAGTAGTATTCCATTGTATATATATACCACATCTTTATCCAGTCATCTGTCAATGGACATTTAGGTTGCTTCCATGTCTTGGCTATTATAAATAGTGCTGCTATGAACACTGGGGTGCATGTATCTTTTCAAATTATAGTTTTCTCCAGAATTTCCTTCCTTTTTATGGCCGATTAATATTCCATTATATGGATAGATCACATTTTGTTTATCCATCAACCTGTTGATGGACGCTTGAGTTGTTCCATGTTTTGGCTATTGTGGATAATGCTGCTGCAAACATGGGTATACAAGTAACTGAGTCTCTGCTTTCAGTTCTTTGATGGATCTACCTGGGAGTAGGTTTGCTGGGTGACATGGTAATTCCATGTCTACTTTTCTGAGGAGCCACCAAACTATTTTCCTGCACCACTTTACATTCCCACCACTTGACTCCCACTATGTTTGGGAGTTAAGGTTTCTCTACATTCTTGCCAAAACTTGTTATTTTCCATTTTTTAAAAATTGCAGTCATCCTAGTGGGCATGAAATGGTGTCTCATTGTAGTTTTGATTTGCATTTCTCTAATGACTAATGATGCTGAGCATCTTTTCATGTGCTTCTTAGCCATGTGTGTGTCTTTGGAGAAATGTCTATTCAAGTCCTTTGTCCATTTGAGTTGAGTTGTTTTGGTTTTTTCTTATTGAATTATAGGAGTTCTTTGCATGGTCTGGATATTAATCCCTTATCTGATATGTGATATTATCTCCCATTTGGTGGGTTGTCTTTTCACTCTTTTAATACTGTATTTGGATGCACAAAAGTTTTTCATTTTGATGAAATCCAGTTTATCTTTTCTTTTGTTGCCTGTACTTTTAGTGTCATGTTCAGAAAATCATTGTCAAGTCCAATGTCATGAAGCTTTCTCCCTTGTTTTCTTCTAAGAGTTTTATAGTTTCAGGTCTTACGTTTAGGTCTTTGGTCCATTCATTTTGACTCAATTTTGGTATTTGTTGTGAGACAAGAGTCCAAATTCAAAGGTGGCCTTTTAACTCAGGGGAGAGGCTGGCTTATTTATTTGCCTGAGAGACTGCACCCCCCACCCCAGCCTTCTCTCTTTGGCTCCCCAGCACCTCCCCCCCCACATACTCTCTTGCAGGTTCACAAGTTTCTAAACAGAAACCAGGATCATCTTGACCCTGCCGTGGTGGACATGCTTGCCCAGAGCCAGCTCCAGGTGCCCCTGCCAGCCCCACACGCTGTCCCCTAGCTCTGCCCTCCTCACCTGACAGTCTAGCCCAAGGAGCTTGCCCTTAAGCCCCTGGCACCTTGAACCTTTGTCTGGCCCACCCTGGCTCCCCGGGGGTGAGAGCAGGCTGGGCTCTGGACAGGCCCAGGTGAGCCGGTTCAGCCCCCTCCTGCCCTCCAGCTTGTGGGCAGCCTGTTCCAGGAAGCAGAGCCCGAGTCCAGGAGAGGACGAGGCAAACCCACGCTGGCCTCTCGCTTCCAGTGTTCCCTGGGGGACCTCATAGCCCAACTGGGCAGGTGAGAATAGTGCCCCTAACACCCAAGCCCAGGGAGTCTGAGTCGGGGGGCCAGTCTGTGCTCAAGTGACCCTCTCACCGCCACCCACCAGGAGCCATGTCTATTTCATCCAGTGCCTCAGCCCCAACCCGGGAAAGGTGAGCTCTCCCAGCACCTGGCCCCAGAGCCCTCTCACCCCTGCCCGGCCCTTCTCAGCCTCCTCACTCCTCCTCATGCCCGGTCCCCGCATTCCCCACGGCTTTAAGCGCCTCAACTCTAGCTCTCATTGGCTCTGTCCCACGGCCACAGATGCCGGGCCTCTTCGACGTGGGTCACGTGGCAGGCCAGCTGCGCCAGGCAGGCATCCTGGAGGCCATATGTACCCGCAGTGCCAACTTCCCTGTTCGTGTGCCCTTCCAGGCCTTCCTGGCCAGGTAGGGCCCCAGGATGGGGGCAGCCAAGGGCCCAGGCACCTCTGGGCCAGATCACTAGGAAGGCCCCCTAGAGTGACTGGCAGATCTGGGGTTCCTTCAGAGTGGAGATGGACCCACTATCCGAGGGACCCTGGGCCTGACGTCCAACCCTCTCTCCTTCCATTTCTCTCTCTCCTCTCCCTCCATCCCTGCCTTCTTCCTGCACCCTCCGTCCCCTCCAGGCCTTCATGCATTCACTGCCCTCTTCCTTTCAGCAAAACTCTCCTGGGTGCCTGGCTTTCCTACTTTGGAAAGTAGGTGCTTTCCAAATCATTGTTGAATGACTTATTGACTGAATAGACCCCGAGGGGCTCAGGGTGTCACATGAATGGAGGGAGGTCCTCACTGTGCTTGTTCCTACCTTGTTTCTCCATCCTTGGGGCAGGTTTCAGGCCCTGGGGACAGAGGGGCAGGGAGAGCTCTCTGACCGGGAAAGGTGTAGCGCCATCCTGAACCAGGTGCTCGGGGCTGAGTCACCGCTCTGTCACCTGGGAGCCACCCAGGTGGGTGGTATGTATGCCCAGAGACGCAGGCATGGCTGGAAATCGGGAGGAGCATTCAGGGACTAACTCAGGATTTGGTGTCCTTCTGGATGGTGGGGAGATGGCGTGGGGCTGGGTGTCCTGGGGAACCCCAGAAGAATCGACTGGCTGGCAGGGAAGAGGTGGAGGCCTCGGGAGAAGGGCAGGGTGGGCCCCGGCCCCCTGGCACCCACAGCTGTCTTGCCTCCAGCCCCAACCTCCGCCCCCAGGTCCTGCTGCAGGAGCCGGGATGGCAGCAGCTGGAGCAGCACAGGGCCCAGCAGCGCTCCCAGGCCCTGCTCACTCTGCACCGAGGCCTCCGCGTCTGCATCTCTCGCCAGCGCCTCCGCCTCCTGCCACGGATGCAGGCCCGTGTGCGAGGACTCCAGGCCAGGTCTGCAGGGTGGGGTGAGACTGCAGGCCTCCTCACGGTGGTGGTGGGGCAGGTTCAGGAAGACATAGGGCCTCACGGCAAGTCTGCCTGCATCCTATCAGCACTGGACTCTTCCTTGACAGACTCCACCCCACCTATACCCATGTGGTCTCTGCTTGAATACCTCCAGTCACAAGAAGCTCGTTACCAGCTGAGGCCACTCAGACCTGCGGTCTTGACTCCTTGGCTGTTCTTTTTTCTCATCTGTTCTTCACTCTGCAGCAAGCATACTCTTTTAAACAAGTGAATCGTGTTGTGTGAGGCCCTGCCTACCTCTCCAGCCTCAATTTAGGCCAGACTTTAACACTCCAGACTCTTTGGACTTCTTGGTCCTACGATGCTACCCTTGCGCTTCTCACCTATTAACTCCCCCCAGTCACCCTTCCCAGCCCACCTTCACTCATTCACCCAACAGCTGTTGGTTGACCATCTTCTCCATCTACCCTGGGCCAGATGCTGGAGACACAGGGACCAAGGCAGCGATGGTGCCTCCTAGGCTAGCCGGGGACTCAGAGCAGACAGTAAAGCAGCCTCCAGTCGCCCCAAAGCAGGTTGTGAAAGGACCAAGAACAAAATGAGAGCAGTGCCTTGGACACCCAGGAAGCCTCTGGTGAGGGGGCACCCATCACCACTATCTGTTTCCAAAACATTTTCATCGCCAACAGGAACTCTGGACCCATTCAGCAAGGATCCCCCACTCTCCCTTTCCAATGTGTCCATTTCTGGTACAGTGCTTTTTTTTTGTTTTTTTTTAAGGGGGTAATTAGGTTTATTTATTTTTAATGGAGGTACTGGGGATTGAACACAGGACCTTGTGTATGCTAAGCAGGCAAACTACCACTGAGCTATATCCTTCCCCCTTCAAGTTTCTGCTTTCAATTCATTTGCGTTCTTACTTATGAGTGGAATTCCTGGATCATATGGGAATTCTGTGTTTACCTTTTTGAGGAATTGCCAGACTATTTTCCTCAGTGGTTACACCATTTTGTATTCCTGCCAGCAAGGTGCGAAGGTTCCGGTTTCTCTACGTCCTGGTCAATATTTGTTATTTTCCGCTTTTTGAGTTAAAGCCTTGATTCCTAGCGGGTGTGAAGGGCTGATTTGCATTTCCCCAGTGAATAATGATGTTGCGCATCTTTTCATGTGCTTCTTGGCCATTTGTGTATCTTCTTTGGAGAAATGTCTCTTCAAGTCCTCTGCCTGCTTTTTCTTTCCTTTTTTTCTTATTGAGTTGTAGGAGTTCTCTATATATTCTAGATATTAAACCCTTATCAACTATATGATTTGCAAGTGGTCTCCCATTCTGTGAATTCTCTTTTCACTCTCTTGATTGTGTCCTTTGATGTACAAAAGCTGTAGATTAATTTTTAAATGTTTATCTGCTCAGGGCTCCTTCACTGAGGAGTCTGGTCTCTTTTTACATCTGGAAAATTCTCAAAGATACTGTCTCTTCCAGGATCTCCTATTAGATTTCCAGTAATGTTATTTTTTTCGTTTTCAGAAATACTGCTTCTTTTTTTAATGGTATTTATTTATTTATTGTTTATTCATTTAAAAGAAAATTTGGACAGGGGGCAGGTAATTCGGTTTTTTAATTTATTTATCTTTAACAGAGGTGCTGGGGATTGAACCCAGGACTTTGTGCATGCTAGGCAGATACTCTTCCACTAAGCTTTATTCTCCCCCTAGAAATTCTGCTTCTTAAATCATAATATGCCAGACTCTATTCTAACTAGTTACACCATTAATTCATTTAATCTTATCGTGGGGCAGGTATTACAATAATTCTCATTTTAGAGATGATGAAAATAAAAAGTATCCTGTCCTTTCCCTGTTGTTTCTCTGAAGCGGCTGGGGGCTTCACTGGTCCCAGGTCAGTTTTTATGTTCATGTCTTGGCTTGGAGGATTCAGGTACTGAGTGTAAGTTTGGACTCCTCCCCACCCCCTTCCCGGCTTCCAGGAAGCGGTACCTCCAGCGGCGGGCAGCTCTGGGGCAGCTGAGCACCATCCTGCTGGTGGCCCGGCCCCTGCTCTGGAGACGGCAGAGATTACAGGTGAAGCGTGTGGATGGGGCTGCTGCCCGGGGCAGCTCAGGGGAGAGGCAGGCAGCCTTGCTGGCCAAGTTGGCCGATTCCTGAAGCACCCACTCTCCAAGCCCAACCTCACAAGGACCGAGGCCTCAGAAACCATTGCTGGTCGAGTACTTCCTGCTTCTCTCTGCCTGGCCAGGATAGCCTGGGGCCTCCGGGAGGTGACTGTCTTCCTTCATGCCTGCCCCCCCCCCAGGGCCTGACTCTTCCTGCCTGCTGAGGGTGCCTTCCCATCCCCTCCAGCCCACCCTTGGGCTGCTCCCCTCTTTTGCCTGATGACTCCAACCTGGGGGCCATAAAGCAGCTCAAAGTTCAATGCCCATATAATGCCCGTCTCCGGCCCCTCCCTGGATGGACTTTGTCCCCTGGGACCATTCCTTCCCTTCTTCCTGCCCTCTTCCCAGTGCCCTGGCAGACAGGCAGCGACATCCACAGTGCTAAGGCTGGTGAGGACTCTGGAGGGCTAGGGGCACACAGATGACCCCTCTGGGGCTGCTCCTGTTCCTCTGCTGATGTCAGGGCCTCCTGGGGGTAGAAGTGGGCAGCTGAACTGCCAAGCTGGTGTGGGGGAGCCTCTAGGGAGCTCGTGTTGATGCCTCACGGGGGCATCAGCTCTTCCTGCATCTCTCCCAACAGCTTGGGCATTGGCGTGTCTGGCACAGCGGTGGGGTTCCTGAGAAGGTGTCAAGCATGGTAGGTGGCCTGGAAGCTAGAGGGTGTCTGCTGGGTTGTGAGTCTACTGGACTCAGCATGGCTTAAGGGGGAGTGTGGGGTCCCAGGGGTGCCGCAATGGGTCCTGTCCCTGGGGTGCATCCATTGTGCCCCCTGAAAAGAGGCCTGGGGTTTCCCTATGAGGGCTCCAGGGGTCCTGCTTGAGTGTCCAGGACTAGAATCCCTGGTCTTTAGAGGAGACACTTATAGCCCTGGGGGTGAGGAGAGACATTGGGTCCCTGTGCCCCCTCCCTTATTTCCTAGTCAATTACTCCTCTCCGCTAGGAGCTGGGGCGCTTGGAGATCCCAGCTGAGCTGGCTGTCATGCTGAAGAGAGCAGAAGGTGAGTCTGGATGGGTGTTGCCTTCTCTGTGATCTCCCCTCCTGTGTGTCCCTGTGGTCCCTCCCTCTGATACTCTGGGTGCCCCCTCACCCCACTGCCCAGCTCCCTCTGCACCAGGGCTGGGGGCTGATGGTGAGAGGCGGAGGTGGTGCCAGAGCCAGGTGCCCGACCTGAGTGCTTCCGGGCTGCCTCCTGTGTCACCACAGGCCATAAGCACGCCCTGGCCGAGAACATTACCGAGTCCATGCCCCCAGAAATTCCGGCACGGCCCAGCCTGACCCTCCCGCCCGACATCGACCGGTTTCCCTTCTCCAGCTTCATCTCCACCAGCTTCCAGGTGGGCCCCCAGGCCTCCGCTTTTCCTGGCTGACCCCACTTTTCTCCAGATGTTAGCCCCTGTCAGGCAGAAGCTGTGTCCATCCTTCTTCCTCCAACCCCCACTTACTCTCCTGTCCTGGGGGCTGTGGATGCATCTGTGTTGCTCGGAAAATATCTGTTGAACCTAAATGTTGCACTTGCTATTGTTACTTACCTGTGCCCCCAACCTTTGTCACACCTGTGGCATTGCCTGGCTGTGGAAGCCGTGTCGTTAAAGCACATGTGATGACAAGGCAGGCCATCCAGTCTGCAGTGTTAGGAACAAAAGCAGGATTCAAAACTGCACAGAGTATGATCCCAGTTTTGTTAAAATCAACAACAATGGGGCGGGGCGGGATGATGTGTGTATCTGCGCTAGAAAGACTAGAAAGAGGGAGGCTAAAATGTTAACTGTGGTTGTATCTGGCAGAGGAAAGTTAATGGTGGTTTTTAGTTTTCATCTTTTCCACGTTTTCTGCATGCATGGGCTTTAATTTTCTAATCAGAAAGAGCAACTGAGATCTATTTTTAAGATGGTTTTCCTCGCCAGTCCCTTTTCCTCTCCCAGGGTGGATGCTCCCATGGGGCTCCCCTGGGGCTCCCCTGGGGCTGTGTCTGGCAGGTCAGCACAGACCAGCCCCTGCTCCAGCACCATGTCACCCTCTTTCCTTGCAGGAGCCATCCCTGCCCCATCCCGGGCAGCTGCTGGCCAAGCCACTGACCTGGCTGGACAGTGAGGACCCTCAGCATGCCCTGGATATCAACAAGGTGGTGAGTGACACATCGGGGAGGAGACAAGGTGGGCTGGGGCACGGAGTGCTGGCCGGGCACAGGGATCCCTGCGTGTCCTGCCAAACCTTGCTTTGTGTCTTCAGATGCTGCGGCTCCTGGGGGATGGGTCCCTGCCATCCTGGCAGGAGCAGACCATGGGCCAGTACCTGGTGCGGCAGGGGCAGCGCCGGCCCGGGCTGCGCGACGAGATCTTCGGCCAGCTCGTGGCCCAGCTCTGGCACAACCCGGATGAACAGCAGAGCCAGCGCGGCTGGGCCCTCATGGCCATCCTGCTCAGCGCCTTCCCTCCAATGCCCATGCTGCAGAAGCCACTGCTCAAGTAAGGGGCCTGGCAGGTGGGGGCCCCGTGGGTGGGGTCAGCGGGCCACCCCACCCCTACAGCAGCCCTGTGCTGTGCCCGCAGATTTGTGTCCGACCAGGCCCCCAGAGGCATGGCCGCACTGTGCCAGCACAAGCTGTTGGGTGCGCTGGAGCAGACACAGCTGGCTCCTGAGTCTGCACGGGCCCACCTACCCACCCAGCTCGAATGGACGGCCGGATGGAGGAGGGGCCGCATGGCACTGGACGTCTTCACCTTCAATGGTGATGCCCGCCTCCTCAGGCCCACAGTGTAGCCTGCCCTGCACTCTCGCCCTCCCTAGACCCCCTCCTGCCTCAGCTCTCCACTGTACCTGCCATGTGACCCTGACCTCCCTTCTGTCCTGCTTTTGGAACCCCCGTGGGGACCCTAGCCCCTTCCCACAATGGTGGATCCTGCTGTCCCTCACTCTTGCCCCCACCCCTCATCCCTGCAGAGGAGTGCTACTCGGCCGAGGTGGAGTCCTGGACCACAGGGGAGCAATTTGCCGGGTGGATTCTGCAGAGCAGGTATGGGGGGCCTGGGATGGGGGAGTGTGGCCAACCCTGACCGTTGTCTCCTCTTCCATGGCCTCCTCATCCCCTCAGCCGGCTCTCCTGCAGGGCACCTCCTGCAGCTGCTCCTGCAGGCCTGAGGCCAAAGCCTGCTCCCCTAGGGGCCGGGTGGGGTTGAGGTGGGGGTAGGTGGGTGGGGTCCAGACGGCAGATTCAAGATGGAAAGCAAGTGAAGATTATCTCTACTAGATCTGGTCCAGATTCTGATCAAATAGGCGAATAAATAAATGCACCAGAGCCGATGCAGAGTCAGAGGGCTGTGCGCTGCAAATAAAGGAGAGCTGTCTGAGGGAAACCATGGCCGCACCCTGGTTCCTGGCCCCTTCCACAACTGACCCCCAACCCCAGCATGACCTCAGGTCCTTGCCCCTTCGGGATGGTCATCTGCCTGGCTGACCACCCTCTACCTCACATCCCTGTCTCACCCAGAGGCCTGGAAACACCTCCGCTTGGCTGGTCTGTGTCACTGTACTCCAGGGACTCCTGGCGGGACTTGGCTGGCTGCGACTTTGTGCTGGACCTGATCGGCCAGACTGAGGACCTGGGGGACCCGGCCAGTCCCCATAGCTACCCCATCACTCTCGGTGGCTTGTAGGTGCCATCCCCAGTGCCCCTGTCCCTGGTCTGCTCCTGTCCCTATCCTGTCATAGGTGACCCCCTCAGCCACCCTATAGTACCCGGGGTTCACAGGTGCTGCCACAGGCTTAGCTCGCCCCACCAGGCCTCCTCCCCCTCCACAGCAGCTTCCATGCCTCATTTCAGCCTGGGCACCACCCTAGCCAAGGCACCTCCCTAGCTGGGCCCACTCTCTCTTGCAGAGCCGAGGACATCCCCCCAGCCCCTAGCATCCAGGCCCCCTCACTGCCCTCAAGTCCTCCTCCAGGTCCAGCCCCAGCACTGCCCAGCAGGGGTTGCCCAGGTAAGGCTGGGAGTGGGCACACTGAGGTTGACAGAGTACAGGGAATAGGGGTACAGGAAGGCCCGTGCCCCAGGCATGTGACACTAAGCCTCCACAGGTGAGTCCCGGACCTCAGGAAGCCTGGATGGCTTCCTGGACCACCTCTTCAAGCCAGTCCTTTCCCCCGGCCTCAGCGTAAGTGTCCTGCACACACCCCCTACCCCTGCACCTACCTCACTGGGGCCTCTGCTGCCTCTCCCATCCCTCCCAGGGCTCTAGCCCTGACCCTGGAAACTGTGACCTTTGTCCCTTCAGGATCTGGAGCAAGGCAGGGCTCTGAGTGGCCGCATGAAGGGAGGGGGCTCAGTAGGGCCCATGCAGCAAGGCAGCTACCCCGTGGGTGAGTATGGGGCTGAGCACCCACCCAGAGTCTCCCTGCCCAGCCACACGAGCACACACCTGGCTGCAGTCAGAGCTCCAGCTGGCAGCCCGGTGGCCCATACTCTTTTCTTTGACTTGGGCTGGAGGGAGGCTGGCTGTGGGCCCAGGTAGGAACCGACCTGGGAGGGCCCTGTTCCCTCAGTGTACCCAGGGATGATGCAGATGCCCGGGTACCAGCCAGCCATGATGCCTGCTCCCATGCCTATAATGCCAGCGATGGGGGCTGTCCCCGCCATGCCAGGTAAGGCTGGGCTGGGGCCACCAGGTCCCTTCTCAGGTGGGGACTGTAGGAGGGAGGGTCCTGCCAGGGGCCTAGAGGGCACAGTGGGCAGGGGCTGTGAACTTGGCCATGATGCTCCCCAGCCCCGACTGCCTGCCGTATTTCCAGCTGTGGTGGTGCCGCCGCAGCCACAGCCCCAGCCCCAGCCCCTGCTTCCCAGTGTGGATGTGAGGCAGCTGGCAGCCCAGCAGCAGAACTTCATCAACCAGCAGGCGCTGATCCTGGTGAGGATGGGCAGGACCCATGGATCGCCTAGGGGGTGCAGGTCTGTGGGCAAGGCCAGGACAGCTCTAATCTGGCTCTCCACCCCTCCTCCTTCAGGCCCAGCAGATGACTACCCAAGCCTTGACCTTGTCCCTGGAGCAGCAGACACAGCGCCAACGCCAGGGTCAGACCCAGGCCGCTAGAGCTGCCTCCCCACCTTCACCCCCAGCCATCACCCCCAAGCCTGAGAACCCCCCCACCCCTCAGAAGGAGCCAGAGCATGAGCCGGAATTGATGGGTGCCTACTTGAGGGTGAGGAGCCAAAGCCAGGCAGATGGCAGGTCCTGGGGTGGGAGCAGCAGGTTCCAAGGCTACAGGGATGGGAGACATGGGGCAGGGTGAGGGGTGCAGGAAGATGTAGAAAAGATACTGCCAGGCCCCAGCTCCATGGATCTGAGTGGGTTTGCTGTGAGAGGGGCAACTTAGCTGGCAGGGCTGTTCCTTCATTTCCCCTTCCTGCCAGCAGGAGACCTCACAAGAGGTTGAAGATAGGCCCCGGAGGCCCAGGAGCTTCCAGCAGAAACGAGAGTATTTCCAGAAGTTGGGTGAGGGCACTTGGGTTGGCAATCCCACGCAGAAATTCAGCCACTGCCCCAGGCTGGCCAGGGGACAGCAGGGCGCCCTCCTCTGAGTCAGTGTGGCCTGTCTAGGAGCCCAGATGGGCAGGCCAGGTGGAAGGTAACAGACAAGGCCATCGGGGGCATTTACAGGGCAGCAGCAGATCAAGGTGAAGATGATAAAGCCTCCAGCCAAGGTGAAGATACCCCAGGGGGAGGAGCAGGAGGAGCCGGAAGAGGAGGAAACAAGAGCAGGTGGTGGGGAGATGGGGGAGGGCTGGGGCCTGTGGTTCCGCACGGGGTCTCACTCTGCTTTCGTCCGGGCAGTGCCGTCGCCTCCTCCCCCACCAGTAGTGAAGAAGCCACTGACACAAGGTGAGGCCAAAGCTGCACAGGAGGCGGAGGCTGAGCCAGCCATGGAGGCGGGGCCTGACCGTGGCTGTGAGCCGGCCCAGGACAGAGCCGTGGTGCGCAGCGCGGACCCCACGCCCCGGCCGGGGGAGCCGAGCAGGGAGATCCGCAACATCATCCGCATGTACCAGAGCCGCCCAGGCCCCGTGCCTGTGCCTGTGCAGCCATCCAGGTGCACCCCAGGGGCTGGCTGGGCTGCCCGCTGCCCAGAGACTCACCCTGTGGACTCATGACCTCTTCCCTTTCTCAGGAAGCCCCCCAAAAATTTCCTGAAGAAAAACAACCCTAAGGACGAGGCTCTGGCTAAGCTGGGGATCAACGGTGCCCACTCACCCCCTTCGGTGAGGCCTGGTCCGGTCCAGGGCACAGCTTCTCCGCTCGGGAGGCCTCCTGAAGCTCTCAGGAGTGAACCTGGCCGCTAGACACAGCCAGTGTGTGTTCTCTGTGCCTCCCCAGACACAGTCCCTCAGCCCGGGGAAGTGTCCCCCACCAGCTGTGGCCCCTCGACCCAAGGCCCGACCACAGCTTGTGCCGTCCAACTCCATCAAGGAGAAGCAGGGGCCCCTTCACGAGCTGTTTGCCCAGGCCCCACCCACTGCCCAGAAACCCCCACCTCCACCAGCGCCCCCACTGCCTCCGCCTGGGGACCCAGGGACCCCTCCAGCTGAGCTCCACGGTAAGGCACCCTGCGTCCCGGTCTGGTGGGCTTTGTGGGGGTGGGAGCAGGATTTCCACCAGCCTCTCAGTGCTCACAGCCGAGGTGAGCTGCTCCGGCTTCTGGACTTTGGAGCCGCGGGTAAGGAGCCCTGGCTTCCGCGTTCCCGCCCGGGGCCGGGCCGGGGCACCTCTGGCACCTGCCTGACATGGAGGGACTGTCACACACAGGAAGTTGTCCTCAATGCAGGCTCGGCAGCTCTGACAGGAATTTAGTGGCCCTGCTGACATGGTCAGGGAGGGCCCACACACATCGGGTACAGCAGGGAACACTGGAGGCGGGAGATGGAGGCAGGAGATGGGACCCTGGGCAGGAAGGAGGCGGCAGAAGTGGAGCGAGCCGGCTACCCGGGCCCTAGGGAGGGCCCTTCTCCCCCCTGCCCCCAGGGAGGGCCTTCTCCCCCTGCCCCCATCATTCCAGCTCAGGCAGCTTCTCTCCTGATGCTCTCTCCCCACCCATCTGCCAGGCTTGAGGGAGCCCATGGGGGACCAGGGCATCTCCACCCAGCTGCTCGCGCCCTCGGGCAGCGTGTGCTTCTCCTACGCCAGTGTGCCCTGGAGGTTGTTCCTGCGCAAGGAGGTGGGCACCAGGGTGGGGCCGCAGCCTGGCCTCTCTGGGTGGGGGGTGGGGCACAGGGAGTCAAGCCTGGGACTCCAGCATCTCCTCCCCACACACGAACAGTGGGGGCTGCCTCCCTGCTCAGATCTCTTCAGGCCTGGTTTTCTCTGGGCCTGGGAGGCAGAGGTGGGGCAGGAGGGGGCTGGCAGGGGACCATTCCCATCCATTTGGCTCTCCCTGCCCTCGTCCAGGTGTTCTACCCCCGGGAGAACTTCAGCCACCCCTACTGCCTCCGGCTCCTCTGTGAGCAGGTGAGAGCCCAGCCTGCCTGCGATGCGTACAGACACACCGCCCCACATCTGGGCCAGGTTGCCGCCTGCACGCGGGGCACTCACAGGCACTCATGGCTGGATTTCAAGCCCTGCCTTCGTTTATTTAATCCTCACAACACTCCTCAGAATTAGGACCATTTCTGATTTATAACAAGGATTAAAAATAAAGTGTATACGGTACCCAACGTGGGCCCGGCACACAGCCACCGCTCGCTGGTGCTTGTCCCTTTGCCATCACTAGATGCTCCCAGATGCTCGTGTCTGTTCCCCCAAATTCTGCAGCAGCCACCCCTCCTGTTCCTTCCCCAAGTTCTGCTCCTTCCAGGAAGCTTATCTCAGCTGACCGAGGAGCAACAGCCTGACTAGCGCAGGCAGCTGGGGGAGGCAGGTGGGAGCTCCGCGCGGTCGTGGCCCTGGGCTTGGGAGCCCCTACACCCCTCCCTGCTCAACCTATGCCCACGGGGCTCTCCGGCTTTTTCTCCACGCGTGGATGCTTCTGGAGTGCGCTCTGGCCTTGGGACCTGGTGGTGACTGCCTGGCTTTGCCCCCAGATCCTGAGGGACACTTTTGCTGAGTCCTGCATCCGGATCTCCCAGGATGAGCGGCGCAAAATGAAAGACCTGCTGGGTAGGGCCTGGGACTCTGGAATCAGGGCGCTGAAGTGCTGGGGGTTGGGCCTGCCCAGAGGAAGGGAGCAAACTCTGGGTCTCCCCTGTGATGGAGCCTGAGGACAGCCTGGGGCTGTTCCTGCCCGCAGGAGACCTGGAGGTGGGCCTGGACTCACTGGACACAGCTGAGGACGGTGTCAAGAAGCGCATCGTAGTGGCCGCCAGGGACAACTGGGCCAATTACTTCTCCCGCATCTTCCCTGTCCGGGTCAGTAAGGTTGGGTATGGCAGCACCCCAGTCTGCATCCCAGCCTGGGCCTGCTGCAGAGGGATGAGCTGGGGGCAGGCAGAGCCCCAGTGGAAGGATGCATGAACAGCACTGGCCTGAGCATCTTGGACAGTGGTGGGGAGCCTGGAGCCTGTCTGTGATGCACCCACCTTCCGGGCAGGGCGAGAGTGGCAGCGATGTGCAGCTGCTGGGTGTGTCCCACCGGGGACTGAGACTGCTCAAGGTGATCCAGGGCCCCAGCTTCTACCCCAACCAGCTGAAGACTCTCTGCTCCTACAGGTGAGCCTGGGCTGGGGTGCAGGGTGGGCTGGCGGAATGGCCCCCAGCTCATGCCCCCTCCCTCTGTGCAGCTTTGCTGAGGTGCTGGGCGTGGAGTGCCCAGCTGGCTCCACCCTGGAGCTGTCGCTGAAGAGTGAGCAGCTGGTGCTGCACACGGTCCGGGCGAGAACCATCAGGGCTATGGTGGAGCTGTTCCTGAGCGAGCTCAAGAAGGCAAGTGTGGGCAGTGGGGATGGGGGTGTGTGGGGTGGTAGTGGTGGGCAGGTGGCCTGCCTGGTTTGGCTGGTCCTGGGGCTTCAGCCAAGCTCCTTCAAGCTGCCTGAGGTGGAGCTGGAACTCTGGGGAGCTCGGTGGAGAGTGAGGCCAACAGGGGGAGCAGGTGGGATGGGCGGGACGGGATCATAAGCAGGTTGATCACTCGCCTGCTGGCCAACAGGACTCCAGCTACGTCATTGCCCTGCGAAGCTACATCACTGATGACCACAGCCTCCTCAGTTTCCAACGGGGAGACTTCATCAGGCTGTTGCCAGGGGCCACTGTGGAGCCAGGTACCCCCAGGGGCAAGCAGGGTGGCGGGCACAGGGCAGGCAGCATGCAGTGGAGCCTCCAGGGCAGAGGGCCAGGTGGGTGAGGCGCTGTCCGTGGATGTCTCCCAGGCTGGCAGTTTGGCTCCACCGGGGGCCGTTCCGGACTCTTCCCTGCTGACATAGTGCAGCCGGCTGCTGCTCCAGACATTTCCTTCTCAACCGAGCAGAGGAGCGGCCGGCACAAGAGCCAGCTGCAGCACGGAGAGTGGGGTAGGGCGTCGGAGGTGAGGGAGACAGGAGAGGCCAAGGCGAGGCCTAACTAGGAGTCAAGGAAGCCAAGGGCTCCATCGCCGCAGAGCGGCCGAGGACCACCCCCTGCCTGGTGGGCAGCGCTTGGTCTGATGATGCTGCCTCTCTGCCCTCTCCCGATTTCCTGCCCTGTCTCCCCAGCAAGACTGTGGGCTCCCTGTATACCTCTCCTGTGTCCCTCGTGGTACTTAGTTCAGCGCCTAGAAGATGCTCAATAAACAGCTCTTGACTTTCCTGGCTTCCGGTGGTGTGCTCACTGCTGCTGCTCTGCCTGCTCCTCTTGGGTTGGGCTGGGGTTGAGGGGCTGGGGCAGGGCCTCTGGACGGGCCAGTGGGCACTCGGGTGGCACCAGGTCTCCTGTGCTCCTAAGAGCCCCACTCACCCCCGGAGCTAGGCACACAGTGACAACTTGGCCACCAGCCTGTCGCCCTCTGTGGACTCCCATGACTACACCATGCAGGAATTTGCCTTGCGCTACTTCCGGAAGCCCCAAACCTTGTGAGTGCCCTGGGCCCATGCCCGTCCATCCTCAGTCCCCCTGAAGTGTGCCTCCCTGCTCAGAGCCACCAGGCTGAGGCTCTTCGCACCCTCCCTACCTAGCCTGGGATGGAGGCAGGAGGGCTGAGCAAGTGGGGCTGTCCTCCCCTCTGTCCCTCAGGCTGGACCAGACAGGTAGAGGCACTGAGAAGAAGGCCATGGCTACCCTGGTGCAGTACACCAAGGTAAGGGGGACAGATGGGGGGAGTCAGGCCAGTAGACCTGTCCTCTGGCCCCCCCGAGACCCCAGACCCACAGCCCAGCCTCTTCGGCCACAGGCTCCCATCCAGACATCACTCATCAGCTTCAGTGATGAGGACATGAACAGGCAGGCTGTGGGAAGCTTCCAAGGTGAGTGGCCACAGCATCCTAGCTCCCCCGTCTGCAGTGCCTTGGACCCAGGCGCCTGGTCGCTTTTCTCCTTGAGTTTGCCAACTCAGGGAGGTTCCCTGGTGGTTCCTGTAACCCCATGGCCCTTACCCACTTCTACTCAGGCTCAAGGGGTTGTGGGTTGTGTGGAGTCTGGGCTGGAAGGCAGCGGTGGGTCCAGCTGGCTATGTGCTCTGTGTAGCCCACAGAACCCCATTTCCTCACTGGTAAAGCTGAGACTGCTGCTCTGCTTAACCCTCGTGCATTTTGAGAGCCAGGTGCAAGATGGCACGGGAGGGCCCTGCTTAGTGTCAGCAGGAGCCACGGCCAGGCCCCCACCCAGCTCACTCTGCCTCTCATCCTGCCCGCAGCTCTGATGCAGTTTATGGGGGACCAGTCCAAGCCCCGAGGCAAGGATGAGCTGGATCTCCTCTATGAGCTACTGAAGGTAAGAGCTATGTGTGCTGGAAGCTGGGGGAGACAGACTGTGAGCTCTGAGGGCCCTTTTCCTGCCCTCCTGCTTGGGCCTGAATGAGATCCCCTGTCCCTTGGTCACCAGGCATTCAAATCATCCAAAAATATTTATCAAGCACCTATTACATGCTGGGGGCATCGTGGTGAACCAAGCAGGCGCAGTCCCCACCAAGATTACAATCCAGTGAAAGGAGACAGTAAACCAAGATGCAACATGTCCGGGGCAGAGTGCTGTGGAGAGTGATAAAGCAGGGGAGGGGCTGCCACAGTGCAGGAGGCTTGGTGACAAGATGACACTGGAGTGGAAATCTGAAGGAAGTGAGACACGTGTGCATCAGAGGCAGGGCACGTGAGCAGAGGAAGGGACAGGGGCGACAGTCCTGATGAGAGGGTGAGCCTCAGTACCAGCAGGGCCTGTGTGGCTGGAGCCCAGCGAGCAAAGGGGAGAGTAGCAGGTGAGGACTGGAGGGGACAGTGGGGCTTAGTCGCGGCAGGCCTTGTAGGCCACTGTTGGGACCTTGATTTTTCGAGATGGGAAACCACTGGAGGGTTTTGAAGAGATGTGGCTTACATGGTGTGGGGTCGCTCTGGCTGTTGTTTGTGATCCTGGGGGTTCAGGGACAAGGAGGGGGTTATGGCAATGATCCCAGGTGAGACTCGGTGCCAGCCCGGGCCTGGAGGTAGCAGCAGAGGGGAGAGGAAAGACTCCCAGCAGCAGGGTTGCTATGATGTGCGCTTGGGCTGTGCAAGAGCGCAGCCAAGGATGACACCGAGGCCTTGGCCAGGCCAACAGTGGGCCCCCAAAAGGAAGCCTGAGTGAGGAGCGGGTCTGGCCTGGCTTGGTGGAGGAATCTGTTTGGGACACGTGAAGTCTGAAGTGCCAGACTTCCAAGTAGAGTGTCTGGGATTCAAGGGAGAAGTCTGGTCTGGAGGCCTCAGCAGACAGGAGCAGCTGAGACAGATCACCAGGGAGCAACCGCAGAGGCCCTGGGCCCACAGCCCTTAGAGGTCAAGGAGACAAGGGGGCGCCAGCAGGGATAACGAAGTCAGAGGGACCAGAGGAAGGACAAGGCCAAGTGCAGCCTGGAATCTGGTCAGGATGGGGACTTAGAGAGTGACCAGCTGTGCAGATGCTGTTAAGCTGAATGTGATGAAGACCGAGAGATGACCAGGGGCTGTCACCTGGACTTGGCCCTCAGCCCAGGGCCACTAGCAGGATTTCTGACTTCAGAGAAGTCATTCTCTTGGATGCCATCCCTCTCTCCACCACACGGTATCCCTCCCCCTGCCCTTCCTGTCCCCACAGCTGTGCCGGGAGGAGAACCTCAGGGATGAGATTTACTGCCAGGTCATCAAGCAGGTCACAGGCCACCCGCGGCCGTGAGTGTGGGGGATGGGCAGGGAGCGGTGGAGGGAGGGCCCCTCCGGGGCCACACGGTGCTGCGGTCCCGCCGGCCTGAAGCCCCAGCTTTGTGCCCTGCAGGAAACCCTGTGCTCGAGGCTGGCGCTTCCTCAGCCTCCTCACAGGTTACTTTCCCCCATCGACCACGCTGATGCCCTATGTGACCAAGTTTCTGCAGGATTCCAGCCTGAACCAAGGTGCGTGTATGAGGGACTGGGGTCTCGGCTGCTTGGGGAGGGGTTTGGAGATGCTCCTGATCCCAGCCTGGCTCCTCTCTGCAGAGCTGGCCCGGAGCAGCCAGGAACATCTCCAGCGCACAGTCAAATATGGGGGGCGCCGGCAGCTGCCCTCTCCAAGTGAAATGAAGGCTTTCCTGGTACTGGGGGTGCAGGCGGCTGGGCATTCTGGGACTCCCTTTGGGTGGGGGGAGCTGGGGCCACTGTCCACTGGTGGACTGACCCTGTACCTGCCTTGGCAGAAAGGACAAGTAGTCCACCTGCTTCTAATTCACCTGCCTGGGGGTGTGGATTACAAGACCAAAAGCCACACTTTCACGGTGAGCTCGGGGCCACAGAGGAGGGGCTGGGGAGAGACAGAGAAAAGCCGTGGGCATCAGTTCTGGGGACCCCCGCAGGCTCTTTCCTTCCCCAGCCCCCTATCACGGCCCTGTCCTTATGCCCAGGTGGCGGCAGAAGTGCTGGAGGAGCTGTGTGGGAAGATGGGCATCAGGGACCCCCAGGAAGTGCAGGAATTTGCCCTCTTCCTAATCAAAGGGGAAGGTGAGCCACCTGCCCCGGGGAGGAAGCGAGGCCAGGCTGGACTCAGGGATGGAACTTTCCTTGCCAGGTCCCCTCCTGTGGTTGCGGGTGAGGCAGTTCCCACGCGGGGGTGGGCGGGGCTGGCGCTGGGTGGCAGGGCGGGCTGTGGACCCGGGATCCTGGTGCAGGCGAGCTGGTGCGGCCCCTGTGGCCCCAGGAGTACCTCAGCAACGTGGTGGTGGATCGGGACGTGAGCCTGCACAGCTGGCGGCTCAGCTGGGAGACCCGGCTGCACTTCGATGACCCCACATACGTCAGCACCCACTACGGCCAGGTCAGCCCACCTGGCCCCATGCTGCTGTGTCGTTGGCCAGGCAGGCCTCGGCTGTGGCTTGAGGAAGAGTCCCTCCCCTCAGGAGAAGGGCTGGCAGCAGGAAGGGGCTTTGGGGCACAGCTGCACTCTCACTGCCCCCCAACAGGTGCTGCAGGACTACCTGCAGGGCAGGCTGTTGGTCAGAGCCCAGGCAGACACCCAACTCGCCAGGCTGGCTGCCTTGCAGCACCTCAGCAGGGCGCTCTCGGATCCCCCCTCAGAGTGAGTGTGAACGTGGCCACACCTTCTGTCCTCCTCCAAGGTCATGGCCACCTGTATCCTTCATGGCCCTTCAAAGGAGGGCTGTGTATACCTGCCCCCCATCCCACCTCATGCTTCTCAAGGGCAGGGCCCACGCCTCATTCATGTGTTTGGATCCCCAGTCTCACAATAGCCACTTGTTCACTTATTTGGCACCTGCTGTATACCCAGCCTTGACCGACCATGTTGTGTCCTAGGCAAGACCTACTGGCTTACTTGCCAAAGCAGCTGCAATGGCAGGTGAACATGGCCACTGTGAAAAGCCTGACGGGCCAGGAACTGAGGCAGCTGCAAGGATGTAGCTCCCAGGAAGCACAGATCAGCTTCATCGGTGGGTCTGGGGCAAGGAGGCAGCTGGGTCTGAGGCGGGAGGCCCAGGAAGGAAGGGGTGAGGGTTGGGGGGTGCTGAGGAAGCTTCTCCATCTGCCCTGCCCCTCCTCTAACCGGGGGAGGAGGAGGGCAGGTCCCAGGACCCTGGCGGTCAGAACTCCTGCCCTAGCCGTCTGTCCCCAGAGGCCGCAAGCGTGCTGCCCCTCTTCGGCTACACGGTCTTCGTGGTGCTGCGGGTGAGCGAGCTGGGCCTGCCCGGACCCGGCCTCCTGGGGCTGAGCCGCCAGCACCTCATCCTCATGGAGCCCCGCTCCCAGGTGGGCCTGGGCACCCCAGGGCTGCCCCGCCCCCCGCCCCTCCCCACCTACCCCAGGGGGGCCGAGCGCTGCTGTCCCTGTGCCCCCAGGAGCTGCGCTGCTCCATCGCCCTGAGGGACCTGCAGCGGCTCCACCTGCTGAGCCCAGCGGAGGCTGAAGGGTCCCCTGGCCTGGAACTCAACTACGGCTCGGCTGACAGCCCCCAGACCATCTGGTTTGAGCTGCCGCAGGTGAGTGCATGCCCTGAGGCAGCGGTGAGTGCCTCACCCGGGCCTGGTGTGCCCGGGGCCAGGCCGATGCCCACGGCTCCAGGGAGGCGGGGAGGGGGCAGAGCTTGGCACCTGGCTGGTAGCCCTGTCCGCACCTGCCTGTGCCCCTGCAGGCCCAGGAGCTGAAGCACACCATCACCTTCCTGCTGGCCGGCGACCCGCCTTCGGTTTAGTGGCCCAGCTTTACCCAGGAGGACTGGGGGAGGGGCGGAGATGGGGACGGGAACCCTCTCTGGCCCAAGTCTCACCCAGATGGTCTCCCTTGGGCGCTCTCAGGCATTTGGGGTTGGACTTTGCCACCTGGCTGTTCTGGAACCTGCTGCAGCACCGCCTAGCTGGCCCACACACACGGCAGCCACGAAGCTGGGGCTGCTAGAGTGACTTCAGCTGGGAAAGAGTCGCAAGCCTCCCTCTGGGGTGGACCTGGCCTGGGGTGGGGCTGCAGGAACTTGGCCCAGGTGTCTAATGTTGCCCATTCCGGGGACATGCCCACCTGGCCTCTGGCCCAATATCAGCACAAGCCCAGACTGGGGAGAAGCAGCTGCTGAGGAAATAAAACCCCAAGAGAACCGGGCTGTGTGTGCGTGAGTGTGTGTCATGACAACCAGGACTTTATTCCTCAGGTAAACATCTAAGTCCGGCCTGGCCTTCCTGACCAGAAGCTGGGTGGGGCCTGGCTGTGGCCCCTCTCATGAGCTCTGCGCCTGGGCAGAACTGGAGGCCTAAGGGAGATCTGAGGCCAGCAGGGGCTCTTCCTAAGTAGGCCCCAAGGCCTTGGGCCGGTGGGTCTGGCCCCCGGCTTAAAATCTGTTAAGTACAAGAGGTGGCGAGACCTTCTTTCCCTCTGTTCCCCTGGCAGCAGCCACACCACCGGCCACTTTCTAACCTGGGGATCTGGCCCAGAAAACCCTGCCACGAGGGCCAGAAGAGGCAGGGAGGCTGGGAGAAAGAGGACCTCAGGCTTTGCAAGCAAAAATAAAGGTGGGCTGAACTCTGGCCTCTGACCTTGATTTGGGAAGTGTCCAGGCCCATTTCCAAAGCAAGGTGTGGTTGGAAGGGGCTTAGGAGCCTGAGAACATAGGACGCCCCTGGCGGCAGCAGGCCGCCCACCTTCCCCATTCCTGAGTGAGGCTAAGCTGGGCCGCGGTGGAGTCCGAGGAGGACACCAGCCCTGTCGGGCAGCCGTCGGTCATCTCTGTGGGCCACACAGGCCGTGCCAGTCAGCTTCACTCTCACACCGGGCCCGGCCGTGGAACAACAGCTTGATAACGTTCTGGGCCTCTTCCTTCACTACAGATTCAGGGTAAGGGAGCATGAGAGCCAGTTTCCTCCCTGCGGGGCCTCCCCAAGCACCGCCCAGCCCAGTGATGCTGGCACTCACCGCTCCTTCCTGGAGAGGGATTCTGAGTCAGTGAGTGTGAGAGGTGGCGGGCGAAGGCTTTAAACAATTCCTGGAGGCAGAGGGTGAAGAGGAGCAGGAAGCACAGACCCCTGCCCTGCCCTCCGAGCGACCCACAGCCGTGATCCAAGAGCAAGGCAAGCCCAGGGAGGGGCTGTGGGCCTCAGGGCTGGCCTGCTTCCACCCTGTTTTGTCCTGGTGTTCACACCCTCCTCCCTATCCCTCACCGCACCCACGTGTCCCCAGCCCAGGAGGGAGCGGAGCCCACCCACCTTCCCTACCTTAGATGCAAACTTGCCCTCCTTGTAGAAAGGGGTCAGACACTTGACCACAACATTCGCAGCCTCCTTCAGGGAGATGCCAGGAGTTGAGAGCTGGCAGGAGCCTTGGGCCGCAGAGTTCATGGTGCCCTGATCGCTGGCTGAGACGCTGCCCTTAGTCTCAGCTAAGATGGAGGCCTTGGCAGAGGAGCGTGGCCTCTTCTGAGCCTGGCTCTCTGGGCTCCCCTGGGCAGGGCCACAGTGGAGGGTCACTCTTGGGCTCCCTGTTACTGGCACCCCCTCCTGGAAGACTAGGCCTCAGCACCCACTGGCTCCCTCTGGCCCAGCCCATCTGCCCCCGGGATGTGGGAAGAAAAGATGATTTTCCCAAACCCCTAACCCAGAGCGGAGCAGATGCAGCCTGTAGGCAGGAATCTTCCTCCCCCATGGCCTCGTCCCTCTTGTACCTGCTGGGGTCTGAGCCGCTTGCCTCTCTGGGTCTCCTTTGTTGGGGCGGGCTGGCCTTCAGGGGGCCTCTGGTCTCTGAGTGGGCAGACACTGGCCGGAGGGGAAAGCAGGCATCAGAGCTCCAGGTACCAGCTGTGCCCTCAGCCCAGGCCGCCCAGCAAAGGCCATCACAGGAAGAGGCCCTGAGCTTAAGAGGCCCAGTTAGCAAAGGTGGTTCCAGAGGATTCCAGGACTGCCCATGCCCTTACCTTGGCTCCTCCCTGGTGCACTCCTTTGTCTGGGGGTGGGCAGCCAAATGTCCCATGGCTTCATCCGCCTCCCCTGTGCACTCCTCTGAGGCTGTTAGGGGTCCCTGCACCTCCCCACAGGAGGGGCTGGCACCTTCTGCCCCTGGGGCTGAAGTGACTGGAGGTTGGCCCTCAGCCCTTTGGCAGAAGAAGCGGGCGATGTTCTGAGAGTCCTTGAGGGCCGCTGCAGCCAGGAGCTGCTGCTTCTTGGTGACACGGGCCTTGGCAGAGGGACTGCCCTGAGAGGGGCCTTTTGCCTTCTTTTCAGGGGAGGGCCCCCCACAACGAGCACTGCTCCCGGGGACCTCTCCTCTGGGCCCAGGAAGGGGCTCACTGCGGTCCTCATCCTGGAGGCCACAGGGTCGGCTGGGCGGCTCCTGCTTGCCTCCCTGCGCAGGCTGGGGGTCTTGCTCCTTGGCCTGCGTCTTCTCCATCAGCTCAGTGGCCGTCTGGAATGGGCAGGAGCCTTTGGGGAAACCGGCTCCCACCCGCTTGTGTTTGAGCTGTGAAGAGGAGAGAGGCTTCTGACCACAGGCCCCTCAAGGGCATTTGCTGGTGGGTCCGGGTGTGGCCATGCCGGTGGGGCTCTCAGGAGTGGGGGAGGGAGAAGCTGGGCAGGACAACATTTGGGGGTCAGGCTGATGAGAGAAGAGCTGTGGGCACTGCAGAGGTACAGCCAGCAGAGCAGCGACGCTTGAGGGCCTGCCCCAGAGCACTCAAGGCTGGGGCTGTGATGCCGGGAGGCAGCAAGGGGCTGCGGCCTCTCCTGGACCCAGGCTTGCGGCGGACACCGGGACGCTACTCACCGAGTACACCTGGGAGGCCGGCCGGATGTCGTACTCGGTGGGCTCTGGGGGCTCAGCCTGGGCGCTACGGCTGTTGGTACCACCTCCCATGACGTAGAGCTGCCCAGCCTTGGAGGCTCTGTGGATCTCAGCCACCTGGCAGAGACAGGAGGGAACGCTGTGGCATCTGCTAGCCCCTAGCCCAGGTTTTCCACATGTGGGCTCTGTGGCCCATGGCTACAGGCAACTGGACATGGGACAAGTTCAAGTCCTCATGAGGTCAGCTAGAAATACTTCCAGCAGGCAAAGGAGGGAAGTTGGGCTCCCCCAACATAAGTGGCCCCATGAGTTGGGGGTGCTGCCTCTCCCGCCTGGAGCATGTCCCACCCACCCCTGCCCGGGGCCCACCTTCTTCAGCACGCTGGCCTTGTACAGGTTGGCCACCTTGGCATTTTGAAATATCTCGTGTTCCAGCTCCACAGCCTTAGCCTGGAAGTCAAGTCTGAGGGTAGGAATGAGATCAAGGCATCAGGTGGGCCTGAGGCCCCTCCCTGTCAGATTCTCCTTGGGGACCCTGGGGGTGGCTTCAGGGTCTGGTGGGAATGGCCTTGCGCACAGGGATCCCACCCTGGACTGTCTGGGTGCTCTGCGGCTTACTGTCCCTTGGCAGCTCCTGGTAGCCCCTCAGTTGTAGTCAAGCCTCCCGCACCCCCTGGGAGCAGGATGGGTCACAGTTTGGGGAGGGGCACCCAGATAAGCCAGGGAGCTGGGGTTCCTGTGGTCTCTAAAGGAACAGGAGCTTGGGGAGCCCTCCTCAGCCCCTATGACACTCACCCATCAGTGGAACCTACGGCCTGGCAGTTGCTGCTCAGAGCCTCCTCCAGAAGCCCCAGACAGTGCTCACGGGCCTGCACAGGGGAGGGAAGTTAGCCACACGAGTCTCAGGTTGGCGGTGTGAGGGGGGCAGGTGTGAGGAGCTGCCCATCTCTTACCTTCACGGTGAGCCTGGGGATCCTCCTGCTAGAAGCCTCTTTCAGGGGACAGTCCTCATCTGGGGGGAGAGGTCCGTCCACTTCACTTTCTGTTCTCTGGCGCCCCCCAACCCCCGCCCCCCAATGAGGCATCCTCCTTCCACACCCTGGGGACAGCCCACAGGCTCCTGGGGACATTTCTTACTGACCTGGGGGTACAAATTCTTCTATCTTGGGGTCTTTGCCCTGGAAGATGACATGAAGGGCTGGTCAGGCATCCTGCCCCATGGATAGACAGCTCCCAGTCCAGCACCAGGGACAGGGCTAAGAAGGGGTAAGAGGGGGGCCACCTGGGACCCCCTGAGCCCCTGCCCCCTTCACCTTGCGCAGGCTCATCTGCTTCTGATAGAAGAGATTCCATTCCCGCTTGTGGGCCTCGTCTCTGCCCTCGTCCCCGCTGCCTCCAGAACCTTCATCGTACCTAGTGGACAGGCTGGGTGTGAGCAGTCCTGGGTCTCGGCTTTGCCTTCCCGTTGCACAGTGATGTCTCTAAGGCCCTGGCAGCTCAGGGCAACATTAAAGTCCTGGCCCTAGTGTGGCCCGTGGCGTTGGGGGGTGAACTATGGCATTGTGTCACCTCTGGTCTGGCCTTGGCACCAAGGAGAGAAGGCCAGACTATTTTCAGTGGGTTGGGGGCCCCTGGCTTCATGGCCCCTCACCTGCTAAAGCCCCCGTAACCCCTGCGGCCTCCCTCATACAGCTCAGGGTCAAAGCCATTCCCCTGGGAGGGCCCGATGCAGGTCTTGCTCCAGCTGCTTTTTTGCTCCAAAGCGTCCAGCTGCTTCCGCACCGCCGCAGGGTTCTGGCAGTAGTCACATCCTTTGGTGCAGGCGGGGGGCGCATCCCCGAAGTACTTGGCAATGGCAGCGTGGCGGCACCTGCAGCAGGCAGCACAGCACAGGTGAGCGTGAGGGGCCCAGGCAGGCCAGCGTCCAGTCACCCGGTCCCTAAACACAGGCTGAGCACTGCTACGGGGCCAGCCCCGTGGCAGGCATCTCTCGCGAGCCTCACCAGGCATCACTGGAGTGCCCATTTTACAGGTGAGGACAGCGAGGTGAGAGATTTCTCAGTCATGTAACACGTGTCCAGAGGAACCAGGGCACGAACCCCATTCTGTCCTGCTTCTCCATGGGGTACTCCTCTGGGCCCAGCTCCCTCTCTGTCCTCTGGCAGTGGGGTGCCCTGGGAAGAGCACGGATCCGGGTGCAGACCCTGACTGTTGCTGAGGCTGTGTCTTTGGGGAAAGCTATCTGACTTCCTGAAGCCTATGGAGCTCGCCTACAACGCGGTGCAGGGCTGCGTGAGGGCTGAGATGAGGCTCTGAAGCGCTTTGCAGAGTCTGGCACAGAAAAGGGATGTTATCACTCTTCACTCTTTTCTGAGGGATTGGGAGGGGAGGAACGTGGCTCTGCTTCTGTCTCTTGGTGACCTCCTCCTTGTTGTCCCCAATAAGCCTCTGCCCAGCCCAGTGTACACAGCCCAGGTCCCAGGGCCTGCGTGAGAGCAGGAACCAGGCAGCTCAGGGCTGGCACTGTATGCTAGGCACTGGTGGGGGCAGCAAGGAGACCCTGCCACCTTGGGTTGCCAGCCTGCAGCTGTCCCTCCTGTGATCACCCACCCCCCAGGCTCAGAGGCATTTGCAGAGGCCAGGGTGGGGGCCCACATCTCTATTGGCCATTACAAATAGTCATTCCTGCAACAGAAATGTGTCCTGGGGTGGGAGAGCCCAAGGGAGATGCTGGAGCAGAGGCAGGGCTGTAAAGGCACCACATCCCAAAGATAAGAGCTGGTGTCACTGCTCTAACCAGAAGACCTCTCATTGTGAGCACTGCCCAGGGCTGCAGGAAACACTCTGAGGAGCTGAGACCCTGAGGGACAGGCTCCAGGAACCAGAACCGATGGTGACACAGCCCGCAGGGAGTGCAGGCTGGCTGCCTTGTTCAGCTGAGTGGAGAACAGCTGGAGGAGGCCAGTGGCCACCAGAGGGCGCTATTCCTGCCACACCTAAAATTGATGTGTAACTCATTCCATTGCCCAAGTCTGTGCAACGGCACAGTAGCCGCCTGTCCAGCCTCTGGCATCCAAGTGGTGTGGCCACAAGGTTGGCTTCCTTCCCCCCACCCTCCCCCAAGCCCTGACTCACTAGGGTTTTGTGCTCACATTCAAAGGGCTCCATTGACAGCTGCGGGCTGGGGTCGCCTCCTGTTCTGCTCCGGGCACAGCCTGGTTTGCTGGGGTGGCACGACCAGCCAAATGTCAAACAGCCCCGCCAGCCACTGGGCTCTGGAGCCCGTCCCTGACAGTCGGGCCAGGAGTGTGGCGACAGCCCCGGCAGACACTCTGGCAAGAACAAGATCAGCAGTGTCCTCTCCTCCTGAGCCATGGAACACGAGGCACCTCCCCTAGCAGGCTAAGCCCAGGCCACTCCCAAGTCACTCGGGACTCCCAAGTTCTTCCCCAAGATGCCTCCCCAGAGGGCTGACTGCTTGGGTGGTCCAGCAGCTCCCCCACTATTTACTTTCTTTCCTAGGAGAAGCAGAGGGAGGGACCTGCCAGGGAGTCGCCTGAAGGACAGGTTGGGGTGGTCAAGGGACTTGAGCCCAAAGGCCCTCCTGAGGGCCAGGCAGAGGGCAGAGAGCTGGAAGAGCTGCGGGCCCCCTCCCTCCTGACTCCGTGCTCAGGTGGAACCTCCCAGGGGTCATTCTTTGCCAGGGAACATGAGAGCCGACCTCCTCTTTCATCAGCTCACAGCCCAGGCCCAGCCCACGGGCGGGTTAGCACACACCCGCCAGGAGGGAGGAGAGGAAGAGGAGGAACGTGCAGACCTCCCAGGGCAGGGAGCTGAAGCCACAGGACCAGTTCCCAGCAGGGATTCCCTCGCCTGCGCTGGGCAGCGGTGGCACTGGCTCCCCACTTCAGTGGCCGCCCCTTGTAATTTGACACTTGAATCTCCCAGACGACCAACAACAAAAAAGCCCAGGCCGTAACAGCAGCTGGCTGTCAGCAGCCAGGAGCTCCGCTGAGCTGGGCAGAGGCACCCAGGGAGCGGCCGGCCGTGGGTCAGGAAAGAGGCGTCAGCAAAGGAAGGAAGCAGTGTGAGTGGTGGAGAGGCGCGGAGGAGAAGCGCTCAGAGGCTGCCGGGCTCCGAACACCTGAGCTCCCAGGTAAGTGGTGCGGGTCACAGGTGAGGAGGGGGCGGAGGGCCATAGTCTACTGTGAACAGAGAGGAGGGTCCAGGGGGCCACACTTGGTCGGTCTCTGGACAGCCTCCTTTTCAAACCCGGGCTCCCTCTTCTTTTGCTGGGACCCAGCATGGCCGCAGGCTGAGGCTACAGCCCTCTGCTCAGGGTGGTTCCTCCCTGCTTGCTGAGCAGGCAGGGCAGAGGGGCTCAGAGTGCCTGCTTACTCTGCAAGTCAGTTTAAGCTTTTTCTATTCAGGGGGCTTAAACAAGGGATTTGGCTGGCCTGGCCTGGGAGAGCTGTCGCCTGCCCACTGAGCCTCCCTTTCTCCCTGATCGAGTCCCTGCTATCTCCCAGTCGAGGAGGCTCAGGGCAGAGTCTGCCCGGCCAGTTCACACCCCCTAGGATGTGGCAGAACTATGTCCTGGACAAGAGCAGTGACTGCTACCTCCAGTGGGGGCCTTAGGCCCATTCACTGCCAGGTGTTCTCAGCTCAGGGCTAGGCCCAGGTGCTCCTCCCTGGGCCCATTTGGATCCCTGAGAGCCCCCAAATCTCTCTGAATGCTGCACCAGAAGTATGAGGGCCTGACTCTAAACCCAGAGTCAGGGAGAAGGCAACAGCAATGGAACCGAGGCTGGGGGAGGGACTGCCCCGCCCCAGTACTTGCCCTCTGCCTCACCACCGGACTGCTGACCCCAAGATGGTTCCTCGGGCAGCAGTGAGATCGGCCCTCTGGGGCAGGGCCCCGGGAACCAACGCTGGTGCCTACTCCTCCTGCCTCCCTGTCCTCACTCCAGGGTTAAAGTCTCCCTCCCCGGCCCCCAGATGTTTTCCCCAAAGCAAATAAGCTAGTAGCTACTTAGAAACAAAAACCCCCCCAGGTTAAAGTAGAAACCAAGGATCAGCTGAAGCTTGGCTCTTGGTTCGGCAGAAGTTGTGGGATTTGGCCTGGGATGGTGGCTGGGGAGACTAAAGGTCCTGCGGCCATGGGCAGTGATGGCACAGAGAGGGGACAGATGCCGGGCTGTGTTGGAGGTCAGGCCTGGTGGCTACCCTTATCTGTAAGATGGCCCAGGCAGGCAGGCAGGCCGGGATCAGAGTCCCTGCACCCACAGAACACAGGTGGACGGGGTCCCCCAAACAGCCCATGTGGGGACAGAAGGGTAATGACCAGTTTCTGGGGCTGCATGAATAATCAGCAGCAGCAGGACGTGCCTCCTCCTGTCCTGGAAAGCTACGAGGCTGCGGAAGCAGGGACCGCTGAGCGTTCAAGTGTCTACCTCCCACTGCAAGTGGGGGCCGAGGCAGGAAGGGGCAGCTGTAGGCTCGGCACAGTGCACAGTGAGCGTCTCTGCCTTGCTGGTCAGGCCTCCGGACCCCGCAAATCTCCCACTACTTTGAGTTATGCCTCATTCTCTTTGTTTCTCAAACAAGACATTGCCCTGAGGGCTGGGGTGGCTAAAACCCACCAATATAGGGGCAGGGCAAGAAGCCCTTGGGCCCTCAGCCATCAACAGCTTCTTATCAGTCACAACACATCCTTCCATAGGCAGCTGCAGTTGGAGTATCAGCTTTGCAAGGAGGAAACAGGGACGCTTCAGAGTGGCAGCTGTCCGGCCTGCGGATGCCTGCCTGCTCTGTCTCAAGGTTCTCTGTGCCAGGAGATGCCACACAAAGGCATGTTTTCTAGTCCCTCCAGCTCTGCCAGCCTTCCCCTCGGCCCGGCTCATGTTCCCCCTCCGCTGGCTGCCACTCCAGGGGAGGAGCACCCTCCGAAGTCTCCGGGAAGGGCCATGCAGGCAGCCAGGCCAGGGGAAGCCACCAGTTGCTCTGGCTGCTTCTAACCCAGGCACTACCGAGCATGGGGTTGAGAGGACTCTGGTTTCCCTGGTTCGCAGGTAGGAAGTACAGTTTGAGAGGAATGTGGTGGACCTGAGATAGACTGGAAACATATAGAGAATTATCAGTAGCCCCACTAGGCTTCCCTGCCCTCCTCCCTCCAAACCTGGGAAGGTAAAGGGGACAAGAGGCAGCTGGCCCCAGAGCACCCATGCTCCCCAGGCCACAGCTGGGAACACTTAGGGCTCCCTACAGTGCAACAGCTGGGGCACAGGCCACACGGTCACCTGACGACTGCCGGTTATATCGGGCACCAGGCATCAAGCACCCCTTGGCCTCGCTTTAAATAGCCCGCTGGGAAGCCCTCCTGGGACCTGCTGGAATGTGCCTCCGCCCTCCCCTCCAGCCCCACCACAGTCCCCACAAAGGCTCTCCTCAAGGCCAAGCTGGCGATAACAAAACAGCAACGGAAAAGCAAAGGGGGCTTCAATCTTTGAGGGCGAACAGCCGTGCCCAGTAGCCCCACTCCTGTTCCTGGTGCAGAGAGGATCCAGTGAGCAGCCCTGGGTCAGTCCCCAGGGCTGGGCACAGCTGGCCAATTCAGGTCCCCAGAGGCCCACGGCGTCCATGCTCATGGACCGACACACTTCCCAGAGTGAGGCCCGGGTCCCCCAGGCATGAGTCTGCAGCTTTCTGATTTCATAACCCCTGGAGAACGGCTGACTTCAGAGGCGAAGCTTCTGATCAACAAGCCCCACCTCCCCTGAACAGCGGTTCAGCCTCGGCCCCACCTTCCTCCTCCCTGCTCCAGAAATCACGCCCCTCGGACTGACCCGCATCCACGCCACCTCTCACTCACAAGTGGAGGCGCCCCCTCTGCAACCCCTCCTGGGCCTTTGGGAGTGATGGACATAGGTGTAAAAGCCCTCTGCCCACCCGCCCTCCACTGCTTCCTCTTTCAAGGAGTGTCTCTGATGGCTACATTAGGCAACACAGGCACCGGGCCAAGCAAGTTGAAAAACCAAACCAAGTGTAGCCGAAGAGGGGAGGGCAAAAGCAGCCCAGGGCTTGAGTCAGCCCACTGGCCCCAACTCCATGAATGAGAGCAGCAGGCGGGCTCTGGTCCTCCTGGAAACCCAGGAAGTGGGATGCCCGGAGGCCCCAGAACAAGGAGGGGTCCACTCCCCTGTATGAGCCTGCTCTCCTGGTCGGCGGAGAGGTAAGTCTGTTTGGTGTGACTAGTGGAGAGGGGTCCTGTGCTGGAGAAGAAGTTCATGAACCCAAGACACACACAAGACTGTTCCTTTGGTGACAAGTCACAGGTGGTTCTTGAAGAGCAGGTGTGGTCTGGTGAGTGATGAAAGCTGTGTTCCAGACTTAGGAGTGTGGGGTAGGGCTGATCACACAAAGCCCTGGTCCCTGTGCTGAGCCCACCACACGGGCGGGGCCCTCGGCGGGCTGCTCCTGGGCTGACTTCTCTTGCCCAGCTAACAGCGAGGGCAGCGCTGGCCAGCCTCCTGTCCTGCAGTGTGACCTCCGAGAAGTCCCTTCCTCTCTCGGGTCTCAGTTTCCCCATAAGCAAAAGAAAGGAGGCAGGAGTGAATGAACTGTGGTGTTCTAGAATCCTGTGCCTCCTAGTACATTTGAAAGCTGGAATCCTGATCTCCTTTGCAGGAAGACCATAACCCAAGGGTGGGATGTGAGAGAAGCCAGGAAGCTCTAACTCCCCCTTTGACAGGAAACCATCTAATATTCCAAGGAGCCCTCATCTGCCTACGACCCCTTAAACACCACCTAAAATCACAGCTCCTTATCTCCAGCTTTCACCCCGCACCTTCCTTCACCTCACACACCACACACAGCCTGGGAACGAAGGATGCAGACGCAACTCCCCAAAGGTGTTTGGGGGACGGCGCTGACAGTGTACATGGGACACGACTGTCCCCAAAGGCCACCTCAACTCTCCCGTGCTGGCCAGACCCCATCTGGAGGGAGCCACATGTGTTGGGCACTCCTGGAGCCAGGCCCTGTGCCCACTGCTGCTCTCCACTGCCAGGTGCTCGGCCCTCCCAACTGCCTTGAAAGACAGGCATCTCATCTTCACATAAAATGAGGAGAAGAAACAGACTCAGAGAGACGAAGGGGCTCGTCCACGTCGCAAATGCAGGAGGAGGCCAGCAGCATTCAAATCCAGGATGATTCAAACGCTGTCCCGTGGGGGACAGCTGGCCAAGCGAGAGCAGTTGTCTCGTGGAGAAGGAGATGTGGGAGGCTCACACGCTAGCTGCCAGGGGTCCCAGAGGACTGGGAGGCCTCAGGGGGTGGAAGCGTCCTTAGTGACACGGGTGGGACTGATGAGGTCACTAGGCAGTCCCACCTTCTAGAGATCAGAGCTACCTGAGAAGGGATGGGGTGGGGCTCCCCACCTCAAGCAAAGGCCGCACACAAGAGGGAGGGCAGGGAGCCAAGTGCGGGGTAGAGGACTCCACAAATGACCTTCAGGGCAGTTCTAAGGCAGCTACGCCGTGGCAGCAGCACCATGGTGACCAGCTCCACAGACCACGGCCATCTCGGGGAGAACCTGCCTGGCTGAGACCAGGGAAGAGGCAGCAGCAGAGCCTAAGGTCCGGCACAGGCCTCTGGCCGCCTGCAACGCGCCCTTGGATTAGAGCTGACTCATGAACAGGTTCAGGAGGGGTTGGCATGAGGCCGTCCCTGGTCCCTCTCTGAAGAGGCACTGGCTCCCTCGTGCTCACCAGGGAGGCAGGAGGGGAAAGAAAGTCTGAATAACATGTCCCAACTCACTGACTCGGCTGGACCTTCACCTTCGGCCCCTCGGGCATGACAGAAGGAGGCTCCTGGTCGTGGGGCCTGGCAAGCTGAGTTGCCACTGGGATGGAGTTGGTGGGGTGGAGGGGACTTTCTTGGACAGGCCAGAGGGGCAGGTCCGAGCCAGCAAGTGGTAGGGGTGGGGACCAGGCTAAACCCGCCCTGGGACACCTGACTCCGTCCTGACACAGGGCCCCTCAGCAAAAACTGGAGAAACACACAGTGTCATCTCCACCTTCTCAAAGGAGGACACCGTATAAGTAAGGCAACTGAGCTGGTGGGAGAGGTTGGGGACCTAAGATGCCTCCCCAGTCAGTTCTCACCTACAGCTGACCCTGGCCAGGTGCCCCCGGCCAGGTGCCCCCATGAGGCTGCTCTCAGGAGAACCTGACATTCCTGTCCCCACATATGAGGAAAAGCAAGGACACTAGGCTGGGATCCTGGAGCCCCATCTCCTTGCCTGGGAACCTGGGGAGGCACCCAAAGTCTTGAATGACCCAGGACCACCAGAGGAGCCATGCCTGTTCGAGACACCCTGGCACCACCTAGGAGTGGTGTCTAAGACAAAGGAAGCATCAGTGAGGTCAGAAACCGTGGCCAAACTTGGCTGACCAGCAGATTCCTCCTGTGCCCAGCTCTGCCGAGCAGCCCCGTGGCGGGGCCTCAGGCAACCCTCGCCCTGGGCAGCACCAGCCAGGTTGGGGCTGAGGGCCACCACCGAGCAGAGGGGGGCCCACCAACTTCCTTCCTCCCTCATGAGCCACCAGGAGTGTGATGGGTGAGACCTGACAAACTTGTTCTGCGGGCTGGGGTGCATGAGAGGGCGGATTCTCTGGGGCCAGCTCTGTGGGGACTCCATAGTCCTCTCTCTGCTCGCACAGCTCAGGAGGAACCCCGGCGGGAGCCTGGCGCAGCATGGCCGCTGCCAACTTCGTGCAGGAGATGCATGCCATCGGAGAGAGGCTGCTGCTCAGGCTGCAGAGGCTGCCCCAGGCCGAGCCCGTGGAGATTGTGGCCTTCTCGGTCATTGTCATTTTCACAGGTAAGCTGGGGCTCCCAGGGTCTCCTCAGTGCCCATGGCTCTTCTTGGCATCCAGCAGAGACCACAGTGCTAGCCAGAGGGCTGGGGGAGGTGGCTGGGTGGTCCCCTGGAGCAGAGGAGGAGAAGCAGACGTCCTTGGGGGAAGCCATGGGGTTGCCCCTAATCCTCTGACATGCTGCTCTAGGGATGGGGTGGTGCTGGGAACCAGGGCCCAGAGGCGCCCCCAGCTCCCCCACCCGGGGATGAAGGGAGCAGAGCTCTGGGCAGCAGAGGAAGCAGGATAGGGAGTCAGGGCCTGGGGGCCGGCATGGGGACAGTCAGCACCTCTCAGACCCTTGGGTGTTTCTGACCACTAAGCCAGACCTCTGGGCAAAGGTCCTCCACACCCCAAGAGGGGCTTCTTCGGGAGCAGGGTGGGCATTTGCTTTTTCTCCCCTACCTCTGAGCTTCCTGTGCTCTGCTCTCTCCCAACTTTCCAGCCACCGTTGTGCTCTTGCTGCTGATAGCCGGCAGCTACTGCTGTGCTCAGTGCTGCTGCCCTGCGCGGAGAGGCAGGAAGGTCCAGGTGGGCCCCATGACCCCACGGTGAGGGACCGGGCGACAACCGAGGAGACCACCAAAGCCATGACCCAGGGTGTCAGCCTGGCCCTACAGCCCTCACCCCTCAAGACAAAGATCTAAGGCCCCAGCTCTGGCCTGGCCCAGGAACCCAGACACTGACTGATACCTGGAGCCTCATCAAGGAAAACAGGACCGTTCCGGCCACAAAACCCTCATCTGCCAGTGAACACTGGGTGCTGAGGAGGAGTCAACTATTTCAGAGACTGAGGAAACCACTGAGGATTCTTTGCCTTCCTGTACTTTCTAACAAAACACAGCAGCAGGGTCCCCATTCCTGGGTGGAGAACAGCCCGCACGTGTGGGGAGCTGGCCTTGGGGCTCCAACGCCAAAGAGGAGCAGGCCCACCAGAAGGACTTCGTGCAAGAGCTCCTGGATCCCCAGCTCCCCCGACAGTGGGGACATGTCTGTGTTCTGTTCCAGGATTTGCCCATTTCTTTCCCAGTAAAAGCTTTTTGGTTATGTGTTTCTGTGGTGTCAGACTCCCTGGGCTGGGCTCTGAGCATCGGGAGGGCGACGTGCCAGAATTCCGGAGGCGTGGCCAGGGACTGTCCCTTCCAGGCCTCTGCTCTCCCTGTGCCCACGAAAGCTGAGAAAACATGCAGGCAGGAATGCCATGGAACCAGGGGAGGGGTGAAGGGAAATTCCTGCCAAGCACTAGCTGCCGACAAGCTCTGCCTCCAGCCGCCCACTCTGCCGTGACGGAGGCTGCATCTGCCCCAGGCAGGTGCTGGGCTCAGGAATGCCACTCAGCAGTCACCACTGCCATTAACTGGCCAGCACACCCCATCCTAGCAGGCTCAGGCCACTGGGTCTTCCCAAACTTCCAGTCAGAGAGGTTAGGCCCCATTACTATCCATAACCTGTACCCTGGCCCCTCTGCCCTTTCCCCAGTGTGTGCTGAGCTGTCTGGGTTCGACTCCTCACCCTGCTTCTCACCAGCTATGTGAATGCAGGGTAGTGACTTGACCTCCCCACGCCATGTTTCCTCTCCTGTGAAATGGGGCTAATCCTGGTACCCACCTCCGGGGGTAAGCTTGTGAGGATAAACCAAGATGACCTATGTCGTGCACTGGACTCAGTGCTGGGCATATCCTAAGAGCTCCGCAGACCTGCCGTCAATACCCGCCTCTGTAAACAGAAGGCCAATCCAGAGCAACGTGGATGCATTTTAAGGACCGAGCCCACTGACGTGCAACACTGCCCTGCCTCCATCCCTTCAGTTTGCTTTCTCTTCCAGAGAACTCGCCAGGTAGAGCTACAACCCAGGGATGAGGGTGGGGAAGGCAGAGGCTGGCGCCGTACCTTCCCACCGTACCGGTCCCCCAGAGCCACAAAGCCAGCTGTGTTTCGCACACCTCTGCTGTCTAGGCCTGCGTGGCCTTTGTTCCGGCTGCCTGGGGGCAAAGCCCTGTCTACTCAGAAAACAGCGCATCGGGAGGAGATGCCAGCCCCTGCCTCCCGGCCATCTCCGACAGGTAGGAGAAGCACTCTCTGTGGCTGGTTTCACTTCCTGGCGTCCAGGGTCTTGTCTGACAGGTTTGGTTTGGGTTTAAGACCAGAGAGGAAGTGCCTCCATACAAAACAAAAGAAATTCAAGAATCTGTCTATACGTTCTACCCATTCTACCCCACCACCACCAAAGAGTGGGATTCAGCATAATGATGATGATGACAACAAGGCGATGGTAAAGCTAGTTAAAGGTCCCCGAGGACTTACTCTGGCACTGACTTACACGTTTTGATGCAGATAAATTCATTAAATCATCACAACAACCTCACTGCCATAGGTACCATTATTATCCCCCCTTTATTATTTTTTTTAGATTTATTTACTCATTTTTTTTTTAATGGAGGGACTGGAGCTGGAACACAGGGCCTCGTGCATGCTCAGTATACACTCTACCACTGAGCTATACCCACCCCCACTATTATCTCCATTTTAAAGATGAGGAAATTGAGCCTTAGCAACGCTAGGAAACTTGTCTAAATTCAATCAGCTAAAAAGTGGCAGAGCCAGCCTCTGGGCCCCGCCTGTCTGGCTCCAGAGCCCTCGCTCACCACACCCTGGGCCCCAGGCCTCCAGCTACAGTACTGATAAGGCTCTCATTCCACCATCCAGTCAACCAACCCTAAATCCTAAACAGCCACACCCCAAACTCCATCTCAAAATAATCTCCCTATAAGTGGGTGTGGCCTAAGAGTTAAGAACTGGAGTGGGGCCCAGCTAGGTCTTCCTCCCAGAAGAAAAACACAGGGAAGGTGGGAGGAACTGGATGGGAAGCCCTGCCTTTTCCAGTCCCAGCACCAACTTGGCTGGAGGGTCCTCAGTTTAGGAGATGCCCCTGATTCCTGTGTGACTTTTCCTTAAGCAAGTTTCATCAGCATCAAGAACACCCTCCCTGAGGGTGGCTAAGGCTGAGCCTTTTTACTAGAAGAGAAGCTGGCTCCCTGATCCAGCTGCCAAGACGTGGGGACCATGGGCAGCCCTGGGCACTGACAGGCTGACTGGTGGTTCATTCCTGTTTTCCTCTTCCGGGCCAGTCAGTTCCTAACTGCTGAGTCCAAATAGGACTCTGTCCCTGCCCTCAGAGGGCTTACTGGTACACACCGAGCCCCGCCACTGACGGCTTCCCCATAGTTGTCAGGCCAGGCTCCAGTCCTGCTCACTTTAACCAAACAGGTCTGCTGTAGCATGACAGCAGTCTGACACATGCCGACCGGGTCCTCCAGGAAGACGGGCATGGAGGGGAGGCAGCAATTCCCCCAGGGCGGGAAAGAATAAACCGAGAGGTACAGGCAAGTGGTGGCCATGGAAGGGGCGGCCACTAGGCTGTCTGAGCCCCAGAGAATGTCTGGCTGACCTTGGCTGCCACACCTCTCGTTTCTGCCACCCTGCCACCCTGGACCAAGCCACCAGCAGTCTGCCTGTGGTCACTGCTGCAGCATCCTAGCTAGTCTCAGCATTGATCTCCCCCGCTCCCCCGTGCCTCCCCCGACTGTGACCTCTGCTCCACCACTGACCACGACTGTGGTCTCCTGCTTCCTCACAAGGGTTTCACTCCACACTTCAGATCCGTGCACTGTACTGTCTGTACCTTACAGCTTACCAGAAACCGCAGTGAAGCCACCTGGTGCAAGAATCTCATTAGCCACATTTGGCAGAGAGCATTCAAAACAGTTTTCTCCTAAATCTGTTTTCCCAAATATCAAGATTTAAAAGCAATCTACAATAAAAATCTTCACGATATATATGCCTGTGAGTAATAACAAATTCCAGACCAGAGAAAACTGAGGACAAATTAATTCTGTCCTTAGAAAAAGTTTCCTTGGGACTGTCCTTAGGACCAGTTGCCTGTCCCTTAATTCTAACTCTTACATCATCCTCACATCTCAACTTACACATCACTCCTTTCAGGGGAGTCCCCTCAGCCCCTGGGCCAGGCTATGTTAGGGTCACCAACAGCATTCTCCACCCCTTCCCATCATATCATTTCCTTGATCATTTCAGAAGAATCTTCTAATCAGGGCCAGCAGTTAATTGAAAAAGTCAATAAAAGCAATGTTTGTGTACACGAGACATATATTCTCCACGCCTCTCATTTTAAATGGAGATACACACACACACACGCCTTGGCCAATCTATCTGACGTAGGGCTAACGTCTTTTCCCTGCGTGTGCGTTTGCTGACCCGAGTTCCTGAACTGTCTCCTTGCTAATTTTGACTTCTTTCAAGCAGAACAAGAACTTAAAGACATCTGCAAAGAAACCTGAGTGTGAAATCCTCCTGGATTTTTAGAAAATGTCCACGGTTGTCTTGTCCACAACTATTTTTGACAGGAATATTATTTGAATGATTCCAAAATGATTCCAAGGTGGTCAAATAGATATAGGAAGAGACCTGCCCTCTCTACTCACTCTGAAGTACAGCACAGAGCCTCAGAGAGCTCAGCCTGCACAGCCGAGTTGAACAGCTGGGTCCAAACCTCAGTGCAGTAACTTCTTAGCTATATGACCTTGGGTAAGTTACTTAACCTCTCTGTGCCTGTTTCCCAGCTGTAAAACTGGGGTTTCGGCTCTTACTGTTGCTCCGTTTTTGTGTAATATTAAGTGCAATTATGTAATCAGAATAACAAGCACAGCCGCCACAAAACAGGTTTGGGAACAAACAGCTGACTCTTGACAAGCATCCAATTAACCTGACAGAGAGGAAGTACAAGGGTGCACTAGAGACCAGCCCGCTGGCTGGGAGGGTTCAGCGGGCCAAGGGCATTAGTCAGTGTGTTTTACACGGGGAAATGCGAAGCGGCAGGTAAGCCAGGGGTCAGTTAAGCCAGGATGGTAAGAAGGGCTTGCAGATGGTAAGAAGGGCTTGCTCACATCTCCTCCAGCCCGGGCTGCACATCAGAATCGCCCAGAGCGCTCTACCAAGCACGGGGCTCTGACACATCCTGGGCTACCAGGTGGGGCCTGGGCACAGGCATTCAGAAAAGCTCCCAGATGATTCTAACAGGCAGGGTTGAGGACTGGCTTCCTGGAATGTAACCCCTGGGTGGGCAGGGCCTGCCTCTCTTGCTCACGACTAGAAACGCGGTGACAAGCCCAGTTCCTGGCTGCCATGGGCACTCAAATTCTATCTTTCAAAAAATGAATGGCGGCCACTGGGTTTCACACAGCAGGGCACAGGCCCCTCCTCCCTCTCCAAGCCACCCTATAACATGGGGGGCGGGGAGGAACCCACATGAAGCTGCTGAGGCCGGGCCTGAGAGGCAAAGACACGAAGGGAGAAGTTAGGCCTCCACAGGAACCTGGGGCCTCAATGGCGATAAACACCCAGAGGCTAGTTCCAGGTGGTACCAGCTGCAGCTGGGGTTAATCATTCACCCAGCACCACGGGAAGGGAGCAGCCATGTGCGACAGCCCCAGGCCTGACTTCCCGAGCTCTTCGGTGGACAGGTCATCTGGACTGAGAGGAGGGGCAGGGCCCAGCCACAGGTGAGGTGACCAGGTGGCTGGGGGCAAGGGCCCGGGCTCCAGTCTCTTCCCCGACCCACCCCAAGTCTGACTTCCCATCCAGGACACCGCAACACAAGCACTCTGAGCAGCCCCCACAAACGGCATCACAGGAGAGCCGAGCACAGCCAAGGGGGTAAGTGTGAAAGGCTGAAAGGGAATGTGGTTGCTAGGCAATGGCTAGCCCACCTTTGTTTACTCTGGTGACAGCAAGGAGGTCTGGTCAGGGCCAGTCAGCAATGTGACCACCTTTTCCTCCTAAGAGTTACTTCCCTGGAGTGTGACTCTTTTCACCTGGTGGCCTCAGCTCGGGCCCCCCAAAGTGTGGGGCCTGAAGGATTACCCTGATCCGCCCTCTCTTAGGACAGAGGACTGTTCAGAGCAGAACCCGGTAACTACTCCTTCCTTCTCCACCTTCACTCCCTTCAACAGGCCACAGGCTCGCAGACTGTCAATCTCAGCTATTTCAGGATTAGTCCTTCTGCTTTCAGCTGCCTCTCAGGCCGTCTGCTGAGGTCTCAGCTTGAGTCATTCCACTCCGCGCTGGCTCCTATGCTGATCTCTCAAAATGCTTCCCAAATGTCTGGCAACTGAGACAGGAAAGCCAGGAAGGACCTATAGCGGTGCTTTTTAGATTCTGGCTGAGCAGGTCTCAGGGACGGGGACCCCTCCGCCACTTGGTGCCAGTCCCTGCTTCTGCTTCTGTGCAGGAGGAAAGCCCATGTTTGCTTTCAGGAGGCATCCAGCCCAACGACCCTTCAGTGTTCACTAGCTGCAGAGGTGGGCCGGATATTCTCTGAGATTGCGCCAGGGGTGAAGTTGGGGGAGTGGGAAGCAGGGCCTGGGGCGGGGCCTTGGAGCAGCCCCTGTACTCAGGGCCTCTATCCTGACTTTTCCAGGTTCACATGGACAAACTGCTAACAAAGCGCACCTGGAATGGTTTCTGGCTGAACCCCTGGGACCAGGGGGGCCTGGTAGTGATCATCTTATTTATTACCATGGTCCTGTTCCTCATCTCTTTCGCTGTTATATTTGGCTTACTATGTCCGCCTGACAGGGACAACCATTGTGAAGGGTTGTGACCTGACTTCCTGCGGGCCAAAAAGGGGGTCACTGTTATACATTCTCAAAACGCCTTGTACCTTTTCTTCAAAGCCCTTTTAAGTCTGGAATTATACATTATTATGTGATTATCTGATAAGTGCCTGTCTTCCCCACTGGACCAAGCACCAAAAAGGAGGGGATGGTCTTTCTGTTCACCATGCACCCCCATATCTGATGGGCCTCGTACAGAGTCAGTATCAATCACTATTTGCTGGTTGAATAAATGAATGAATGAACAAATGAGCAAATGAATGGATAAATGGAGAGATGCTAGGCTGTTGGCTCCCCAGCCTGGCGACGACAGAGCCCAATACAATCTAGGCCTAAACCAAGGCTCTTCCGTCTCAGACAAGGTGCAGAGAGGCCTCTAGGCTGGAGGTTGCTTTGAACCTAATTACTGTTCCTTTTTACACTAAGAGATAAAGAGTCCTGTCATGAATAATCAAATGCTGTTCACGGCCACGCTCTGACAAAGTAGATGCATGCAGAGAGGAGAGGAAATCCACCGGATGCCCCACCCTGGCCTCATTCATGTGAGCCGAGTGTCTTTTCTGTTGGTCCCAAAGATGTCCAGGTATCCCTCACAGGGTCCCGCAGCCCCCATGCACCCCAGACCCTACAAAGCTGCCTTTGTAGAAATGTACCCACCTCTGCCAAAGCCACCACACTGGCCTGTCCCTTGCTGCCAGGTGTCCTCCCTTCTCAAGCAGCTGCTTCAACGTCAACCTCAAACCAGGCTATTCTTAGAAAAGGGGCACATATCTGGTGGGGAGGGGACTTTGCCGTCACACTGTATGCCATTTATGCAATGAAGGAACATTTCCTTTTACTCAAAGAGCAATTTCAAATCCAGCCACACCTGCGTGTTCACTCCATCCCAGGGCCTGGAAGTCCTGGGATCTGATATCCTCACAGGTAGCAAATGAGATAGGAGAGATGAGGCCGCACAAGGGATAACAGGATGCCCAGACCCCTGCCACACTGAGAGGCCCCAGCTCCCTGGTATAAGACAGGAGGAATGAAGGCAGAGGCCCTTGGGAGGACCCGTCCTCTTGCCTGGCACAACCAGCCCTCCAGACAGCCCCACAGAACCTCAGACTCATCCCACATAAGAATCCAGCCAGGGTGATTTTCCACAAAGGGGACTGAAACCTACAAGGACACTTAGCCTTTTCATTACGAGCGCTTCACTCAAGGAACCTAAGAAGGCCTAATTTAACAACTCACTATATTAGTGTCTGAAAAGGGCTCTGGTGGCAATGGCTGTAGGCAAGGGTGCCAACCACCTCTGCTGGGTGCGGTCTTGCTACAGGGGCCAAAGGAGAGAGCTTGGAGAAGTGAATAGCTTCAGCCCAGGAGCCACCAGCTCATCGGTGAATAGGGGGTGGGAATCAGAAATATATGGTCCAAATAAGTGCCTCTCTAGTTTCCAGAGGAAAACCCCCAAACATCTGCTGGACACCTGTACCAGGTACTTTATCAGCTCCACGCTTCAAGAATCTTTTCTTGCATAAACCAAGATGGCATGAGTGTATGAAAATGTGCATGTCACTGAAAATTGGGAGATGGGGGATTAGTGGCATCTGTCCTACTGTGAATTCTGTGACCATGACCTCTCTGGACTGTGGTCTGTTCATGTCTAAGTCTGAAGCAATCAATTCTGCCTCATCTACCTTACAGGGTTGTCCAACGAGATCTGACCAATGAGAGCAGAGAATCAAAGAACTTTTTAGACCAAAGGGCTACACAGATGCAAGTGGGCCCAGCTTGTCCAGAATGCTAGTGGACGTCCCTCATAAACTGTGCTCACAGCTACTCATGCCCAGGACCTGCCCTGCCACAACCTGTCTGTCACTGAGCAGCAATCAGGTTCTTTCATGGCCCCCACCACTGGGAGATGCAGATCAAATAAACAAGTGAGTTCCAAGGGGACAGGTGGTGTTACGTTAGAAAAGCTGACTTTTCTTAGAAAAGCTGACTTTTCTCCAAGCACGTTACTGCCCCCACCCGCCAAGAGATGAGCTGGGCCACATGCCTTGTATGGGTCTGGGATAAGAGTGACCACTACACAAGTGAAGCCAATGGTCTGGCTCAGGGACACTTGATGACCACAATGCCAATGACTCAGAACCGGTGACATGACCTGGGATTGAGTCACTCACAGGGCCAGCCATTCCAGAAGTGAGTAGAGTAGGGTGGGTGGATGCCCACCCAAAATACTCAACAAATTCGCACACTGCCAGAGTTCCTGGGGCCTTCCACAGAAAAGTAGAGGGGTACCAACTTCCATGCTCCCTGATAGGAAACATCCCACACAATGGCCTTCAGCAGGCAGAGGTCCCTTGGTGGCCCAAGAGCTGCCCTACATTAGCTGGTTAATGAGTGGTGCTGTTGAGGGAAGAGAAAAGACCTCACTAACACTTTGATCCACACACAATACAAGTCACTCACCCTGATTCTTCACAGAAGGCCACCAGGGAATCAAAGGCCAAGACAGCAGCTTTATCAGATGCTTTGTTCCCTCTCTTTTCCTGGAGACAAGAAACGACCGTTTAGCAAAAGTCCAGACTACCCTGTAGTCCAACAAATGATAACAGAGAAAAATATCAAATACACTAATAAAGCCATTTACAAAACAGATTTCCCAAACCTGATCATGCATCAGAATCAGCCAGGTAACTTGAAAAGAGTGACCTGGGGCCCACCCCAAGACTTCTGGAGTTTTTGGGAGTTTATATTTTCAAAAAGCTACTCAGATGAGTTTCATGTAAAGGGCCCAGGGACTGGCATTTGGAAATCACTGTACAATACAACCTAATTTAATAAGAGTTAAATATACGCACAAGTGTGTGTACTTAGATATGAAGGAACATATTAACCTGTGTGTGTGGAAGGACACACACTAAAATGTCGACAGTGATTAGCTCTGAGTGTTGGGATTATGCCTTAATTGCCTTTTTGTACATGTCCGTTTGTCAGATTTTCCTTTCAAAAAATGTGAAATTTTTTTAATATACAGAAAAGCCAGGAAAATATAACAGGCACTATCTGAGACATTATCTATTGCCTCTCCGTTTTTGGAAGTTGAATCATCCCCATTTCCCAGATGCATGCAAATACACATGCTTCCTCTACCTCCATTCTCCCAATACATTTAAATCATAATTTCTTATTAAATCATAATTTTCATTAATATGACTATGTCAACATTCTTCGGAGCTCATCACATGATGACATTTTTGCATTCTCTATGACCACATGTCCTTTCTTCTACAACTTCGTTTCTCCTGAAATTAATAGGTGCCTAGTTTTTTCATTTACTTAGATTTCAGTGTATCACTAATTTACCCCCAAATGCTCTGACATATTGAAAAATTCATCTCAACAGGGACCAAAGGTGGCAGGATCCACTTTTATTTTTGGAAACATCCTTCCTGGTGCCTTCTGTCCCTGTGTTCGACTTGTACTTCTGCTCTCTGGGCCTGGTGCACAGCTGTCTTTCCAAGACTACCCTTCGATCTGGTCCTAGGACACTCCTTTTGCCTTGCTGCTGGGTCAGATCACCATCTGCCTTTCCTAGGCCACTGTCTCTGCAGTGGAGAACATCCTCTCATAGCTTCTCCATAGGAGAAAAGTTCTTAAAATCTTCTGTCTGAAAATGTCTTTATCCTACTTTCACACTAACTGGTTGGCTGGGTCAGAAATTCAATTTGGAAATGGCTGATTTCGAGTTTGAAGGTGATGTTTCTTGCTTATGGTGTTACAGTGGAGAAAATGGATGCTCTTCTGACTTCCAGTCCTCTGTAAATCACCTCTCCGGAAGCTTTCTGGATCATCTCTTGATCTCAAATGTCCCAACGAAGAGCCCAGTGTGAGTTCTTGTAATTCACTGTGTTAGTAGGTTTCAAATAAATTATCTTATACCCAATCACCTTACCAACATCTTTTCCTTGCCTAATTTTAATTTCAGACAAGTTAATCATGCCCTCTTAGGTCATGACAGACTACCATTCTTGGTCCTCACAAGGCCCCTTTGAAAGGTTCTCAATCCCTACCTGCATTCACCTTCTCTCCCTAGTAGTTCATTTACTCATTTATTCAATAAACATTTATTAAGCACCTACTATGTCCCCAGCACTAATCCAGGCATTAATTACAGCTACACAGGAAATAAAAGGCCCCTGCTCTCCTCTGGTGGAACTTACACTTCAATAGAGCAGATACAGAACAAGCAAATCTATAATGTCAAGCCATAATAAATATAATTTTTTTAAAGCAAGATAGGAGACTTCCTGGGCCCCTATTACCTATATATACTATAATTTCTTTTTTTTTAATATAAACATTTTTTATTGAGTTGTAGTCATTTTACAATTTTGTGTCAAATTCCAGTGAAGAGCACAATTTTTCAGTTCTGCATGAACATACATACATACGTTGTCACATTCTCTTGTACTATAATTTCTTTACTCATCTTTGCTAGATAGTTTGTTTCCCATTTTCTGTCCTCATGAGCCATTCTATCATTCAGGCCCTTGAGCACGTGAGCTTATCCCCTGGCACTTTTATTTCAGGTGATCTGGTCCAAGAAATAGGATATCTAGGTCAAAGTGTACCTGTGTTTTAAAGTTTAATAGATATTGCTAGATTGCTTCCCCCTCAAAAGATTGTAAGACTGCATTTTTCTCTTGGCAAAGTGCAGGCACACTTTTCTATACATGGCCACTAACAACAGGAATTAGAGCTCCTTTACTTGGGTGTCAAATCATTTTCCTTTAATTTGCATTTACCTGATTACTACTGAATCTGAACATCTTTGGATATGCCATTTGGATGAGCTTGTCTGGGAACTTTCTTTTCATATCCCTTATTTTTTCTTGTCAGTTGGTGAAAGCTCTCTGTTTACTTTCAACTTCAACCTTTTGTTTGCCTTTTACATTATGTATTTTTCCAGATTACTGTTTATCTATTGATATTTTTAATGGTATCTTTTACCATATAAATTCTTACATAGGCTAAAAATTTTTAGAAACTTAGGATTTCTTTAATATATACTCAAATTATTTGTTTTTTTAAGATAGCTTTCTGGATTTTTCATTTTCATTACCAAAGTATCTCCAGCCCTGGATGGTACAGTGGACTAAATTTTCTTGCAAAATATTGTTTAGTTTCTACATGCAGGTCCTTAATCTGTCTTTTATATAAAGTGTCAAAAGAGGCACTTTAATTTTTTTCCAGAAGGATAGCCTGCCATATCAGCACCACGTATTAGACAATCCATTCTTTTCTCATTAAACTGAACCATCAGCTTCATCAGATATTAAATTATCACATATCCTGGGACGTATTTCTAATGCTCTCACCTGTTTCTGTATGACACAGATTTGACTACAGTGGCCACGCAGCAGACTGACACGGGGTTAAGCATGTCCCCTTCATCTTTTTTTCACCCCTTTCCCCGCATTTATTCTTGTGTATAAATTCTAAGGTTCCACTTTCCAATAAAAGGCTTCTGGGACTTCAATAGGAACTTTGTGAAATATTTAACTTTGAGGAGAAAAAACCGTTTCTTCCCACTTTCTGTGCCTGTTCACAGCTTGTTTTCTTTCAATAAGATTCTAGTTTTCTTCATCTATATCAGTGGTTCTCATCCCTGGCTGCATATTAAAAGCAACCGGGGAGATTTTTTTTTTAAAGTCTCTTGGTAAGAGCCCGTAACATTTACTTCTAGGTATTTTACAAGTTTTAGTCTTGCAGATTAAATTTTTTTTTCATTTCCATTCCTAGGTATTTATGGTAATATGGAGAAAAGCTATTTCTCTTACGGACAGCCATCTTGCCAGGCTTCCTTATGAATTCTAGTAGATTTCTAGTGGTGTCTTTGGGGTTTTCTAGGCAGACATTTGTTGCCATTTCTACCTCCTGGTGTCTTCTCTCCTGTTCGTCTTGTCCCTGAGTTCATATACTTTTTGGCTTTTTATTGCCCTTCTGGTGGGGATCAGGAATAAGACCTTGTCTTCAGTTTTTCTTGTGAGGAAAAGTTGACGTGTATCCTTTTGCAATTTCACACGTTATGCTTGAGGGGGACGATTTATGCCTCTTGATTCACGTAGATTTACTGCTTCATTCGTAACTGCTCTAGACCCTTCTACTGTGTGACTAGCCCGCTGTTTACTTACCCAACATCTTACAAAGGAGGAGTCTGATCTCACTATTATATTGCAGCGAACATCCATGTCCATTCTCGTACAGTCCACCCTGTACGCTGACAACCTGTCTACCCTCCACGTACCTCTGCAAAGCGGTCACTCCAGCTTACATTCCTGACAACGCTGTGAGCTGCCCTTTCCCCACAGCTCTGCCGACGGTGACTATAAAGATGTTTTACACTTGGCCAGTCTGATGAGCGTAAAATGATAGCTTGGGGCCTGATCTGCATTTCTCTGATTTCTAAGTGAGGCTGAGCATCTCTACGGAAGCTTATTAGATATCCTGGTTTCCTCATCTGTGAAGTCCATCCTTCCTGCAATGCAGCTGTTTGTCTTTGATTTCACCCTCTTACCTGCAGGAGTTCTCTATATATAACCAGGCAATCATGTCTGTCGCAAATGTCTTCCCCAACAATGGCTCATTTTTCCATTTTTGTTTATGCTGTCTCTCATCAACAGAAATTTTTAGCTTGAATTTAGTCCAATAACAGATCGAGTCTTCCTTGATGGTTTCTGGTTTTAAAATCTTGACCTACTCTTCCCTTCCTCAAGACCATAAAATATTTTCTCCCCAATTTTACAGTTTTTTGAGGTCTTTAATCCATCAGTAATTCACACGTATATAGCATGGGAGGTAGGGATCTAATTTTCTCTTTTTCCAGCACCAATTATTCAACAGTTCATCCTTTTCCTGTTGATTTATAATGCCACCTACCACACACCAAGTTCCCTTATATACTTGAGTCTGTTTCTAGGTTCTCTACAAAGAATGTGTGACCAGTAAGAAATTTTAAAAAGACTAAAAACAAAGAACTTCTAACAATATGGTAAAATATAACAATGCTAATTTAAAACAAGAAGGGATTGATCTTGACTACATAAAATAACAAGTGCACAGCAGACTGTACTAAGATCACTTAAGCATAAAGAAAAAAGCCTAACCTAGCTTGTTACAAGCTGCCTATCCAGCAGCACATCACTCCCCATCCCCCTGCTCTACCTTCTAGCCTCAGGAGCACCTCTCCAGATTACAGAAGCCCCATCTGGGTTTGGAAATAAGCCTCATGAGATTGGAGAGTGGTGACTCTGGACAGACAGGACTCCTACAGCCCGGGGCTTACCTGGAGTTTTGCTACTTCCTTCTTGATCAGGAAGCTGACTTGGTCCCGGTCATTCCTGGAGTAATACAGACGGCACCAGGAAGGCTTTCCGTCTCTGCCCGCCCGGCCAGACTCTTGGTAGTACCCAGCCATAGACTTGGCAATGTTCCAGTGGACAACAAACCTGTAGGTCCAAAGGGACAAGCAGCATAAGGTGTGATGGCAAAGCTGAGTCAGCAGAGCAGGTGTCTCCACAGAGACCAGGAACGGGGAGGTCAGCAGGCAGAGAGGCAGAGACAGGAACCCAGATTAAGCGTGGCTATGGCTCCTGCACTCTGTCAGCAGGCCTCCCTGCCGTGGAACAGCACAGTGTGAAAAATTGTGGGCTTAAAGAAACAAGATTAGGAACCTAATGAGCTGAATAGGTCCTTTAGAACATCTTCGAAGAAGGGATAACATTTACTAGGTACCTACTACGAGCCAGGGTATATATTTGTCTCATTTTATCGTTACAGTCACTGTCATGTGAAGTGGCCCCATTTTATAAACAATGAACTTGAAATTCAAAGAGGTCAATTTGTACAACGTGACATAGCAAGGGGACAGCAGAGCTAGGATTTGAGCCTAGGGGTATCTGACTTCAAAATTGGCCCCTAACAAGACACAGCTGACCCAAGGTTCAAACCCTGATTCCAAAGGCCATGTTCTCTCAAATGTGGTTCACAGTCTAATTCCTACCCTGACCAACTCAGGGTCACTGTGAGGCTTAACAAGACCATGCATACAAAAATGCTCTGTAAATCATACAAGGCATTACTGGTGTTACTGGTGTTACTCAGAGCAAAGGGCTTCAGGCTATAGCCCAAGATGTCTCTGGAAGGTCAAGTGTGGCTGGAGGTAAAAGACTTCCCAACAGTCGCCAGTGTGAGGCTGGGACACATCCGACCCTTCTGGACCATCAGTAAGCAGTAACAAGGTGTGACAAGAATGAGATCTTTGCCTCTGCTTCCCACAGGGTGCAATGTGAGACAGTTCCTTCCATCCTTCACAGGGTCTAGCTGCCAAGATGTGAGTGAGTGGGGCTGTGTTAATGGATGAGCCTGAGCATCTGCGTGCTGCCCCCTCTCCTGGGGGAGAGCAGAAACGTGCTGGGGATGGGCACAAGGGAGCAGACTGCATGGGAACTGTCAGCGTTTGGACTACATACTAGGGACTCTCTCCTGGGGCTGCCTTTTCCTCCAGCCCTAGAAGCAGCATATGGACCCGGTCCTCCAGGCAGAGGACTAGGCAGCCCACCCGCTCCCAGGCCCCAGCTGTGATGGTAAGACAAGAACCAGGGCTCACCTGACATTGGCTTTGTCCACACCCATCCCAAAACTAATGGTAGCAACAATTACAGGGACCTTCTCCTCCATCCACTCATTCTGCACCAGCGTTCTTTCAGAAGCCTTCAACCCTAGAAAGAAGGGAAGGGTGGGGAAGGAAGCTATTTCCCTTGACTCTCCCTTAGAGTCTACCTTGGGTCTGATGCTATGCTGGGCACTATACACATACCCTAAATCCATCACTTACTGGCTGTATGACCTTGGGCCAGGCACTTAACCTCACTGAGCCTGAGCCAATAAACACAAAGACCCTAGCCTGTGTGTGGCGCAGAGCACTCAATAAATGTTAGAGTCATGATTCAAACCCAAGTCCACTGTCCTTCAGAGCCTGTGGTTTTTCCACGACACCAGTACCTGGGCTTATAAAAACTCATCACCTGCTGCTGCGTGGGCTCAGAGTGAGAAAAAGAATTCAGGAGTCACAATTCACTCTCTCTCTTTTTTTTAATGGAGGTACTGGGAATTGAACCCAAGACCTCGTGCATGCTAAGCACACGCTCTACCACTGAGCTACACCCTCTCCCCCAACAATTCTTATTTTATATCTCATTTCTGTCTAGATTCCTTTTTGTGGATTTAAGTGAATCACTTAAGCTCTGCTTGGGTATCTGGAAAATGATGGGCTACTTGATTATCTAGGATCCATAAGGAACAAGAGACGGACTAAGAGGCTTCTGAGAGGGAGGAGGGCACCATAGCCAGGTGCCCCTTACCTGCATGGTACGCCTTGGCATTCACACCCCTATAACTGAGCTCTATTGCCAGCTGTTCACAGGCCTCTCTGGTCCTGCAGTAGACAATGCCACAGCCAGATAACAGCTGAATGGGGAGACACAGGAAGAAAATAAGCACTGGGAAGAACAGAACAGTCAGCCCATCAGCCTGCAGCCTGCTTTAAAAGCAACTCTGACTCTCTCTTGTCAGCCTCAAAGTCTCCTCTGATGCAAGCCACCTAGCACAGCTCTGACACTTTCTAGCAAAGCAGGACCAAAGCAGCTCCAAACCCAACCTTTCTAACTCCTCTGCCTCCCCCCACCCCATAAACCTTGGCTAGGTCTGCAAAGGCCTCCCACAGGAGGATTCCAGGACATGGGAACCCCAGGAAGGGGAACAATGCCAGGAAACCAAAGGCACAACTCTGGGCACAAGTTTCAAGGCTAAGGAAACTAGAAGAAACAAAGGTCTTAGAAAATCAGTATCCATTTCTGTGCTGCAGATAGCACCCCAGTGCTCCCAACGCATCTCAGCTCCCCGTCAAGCCTCAATGCCCTCACCCCTTTATCAGCCTTCTGCCCAAGAGCCTTAAGGCAGAAGTCCCGCAGGTTCCCGTAGGGATCAGAGAGCAGTTCCTTGAACTGTACATCATAGAAGAGGTTGGCCCGGAAGCAGGGAGTCTTGAAGACAGCAACTGGTTGCTTCAGGTGCAGGGCAGCAAACACATCCTCTTGGACCTGCAGGGTGGCTGTGGCAGTCAGAGCCACACATGGGGCATGTGCCAGGCGGGAGCGCAGGGCACCCAGACGCAAGTAGTCAGGCCGGAAGTCGTGCCCCCACTGGGAAACACAATGAGCTTCATCCACCACCAGGTAGGAGAGCAGGTGGCGGGACATCAGGGAGTTCAGGGTGGGCTGGAAGGAGGCGGAAGCTGCCATCTCCGGCGTGATGTACAGAAGTTTGGTCCGGGGCTTTTCTTGCTCTAGGTCAGAGAGCAGCTCCTTCTTCTCCTGGGCTGAGAGCTTTGAGTTCAAGGAACTCACTTGTACCTTCAGGGCCAGCAAGTGGTCCACTTGGTCCTGATGGCAGAAGGGGGAGAAGACATAGAAGGGAGTATACGTGACCCTCAGGACTCAGTGGTAAACGTCACCATGACTCCCTGGGGTATTTCCCAGTCATAAAAATCCCCTTCCCACCCTCCAATGTGTCTTCTCTTGGCATAAAAGAAGTACAGAAGGTGAAGTGGTTGAGAGGACAGGCCGTGGGGACAGACAGACCTGGATTTAATCCCCACTCCCTTAACCACCACATGCTCTTTGGCTGGTTCTTAACCTTAACCTTTCAATTTTCTCACTCTCTGTCTTTATTCTTGAAAAAAAAAAGAAAACTACCGAATAGGATTGTTGTGAGAACTAAATGAAATTTTACATCTCAGAGTAAGTTAATGCACATAGAGTACTTAGCACAAAGGCTGAGACTAGTGCACACTCACTAAGCATCACTGTTCTCTGTCTCTGTCTCTCCCTTGTTCTCCTTTTCTTCATGGTGGATGGCTCTTAACCACATGGCCACACTTCCTCCTTTCTGATTCTATCAGCCCATCTGCAGGCCTTAAATATATTCAGAAGTACAGAGCAGATGTGAACAACATCCTAACAAGTTTCTCATCTTTTTTTTCAGTCTCACAGCTGTGCCCTTGCCGGAATAAAGCAGAATACCAGGGATGCCCACATATCAATGTACTATCTATCCAACACCATCTCCTATAATGTTGAGAGTGCACATGTGTACATGAGTGTGTACATACGTGTATATACACCTAGTTCCATATTTCTCTGGACAAAAAGTTACAAAGGAGGGTGAGCGACCTCAGGCCATCAAAACACAGAAGACTCATTCATAACCCAGCAGAGTAATAAGCGCTAGTGGAGAAACCCACATTTGGGCAATTCAGGGACCCGATATAGAGAGGGATACAGGCAAATCAAAGAACAAAAAAAGGCAAAAGACCAAAGAAAGGAGAAGTAAAACCTCAAGCTATAAAAAAAACCTTCCCCTAGACTTTTTGGGCTGCCATCTTCATTCCCCTGAGCCTCACCTGAATCAAAGCAATGAGAGGAGAGATTACAATGGTGATGCCTTTGGCCAACAGAGCAGGGAGCTGATAGCAGAGGGATTTTCCTGCCCCTGTGGGCATGCACACAAAGACGTCCTTGTCACCTGCAAAAATACAAGAGGACAACGTCTTAAAGCTTCCTGCCTTTTATCTCTTTCCTTCATCAAGGCTGTTGAGGGGGGAGGGTATAGTTCAGTGGTAGAGCAGGTCCTCGGCATGCACAAGGTCCTAGGTTCAATCCCCAAGACTTCCATTAAAATAAATAAATAAACCTAATTATCCCCCCAAAAAGACTTTTTTAAAAGAGGCTGTTGAAGACTTGCAGACTTAGTAAACAATCTTATGGTTACGGGGAAGGGGGGTGGGAAGGGATAAATTTGGGAGTTTGAGATTTACAAATGCTAGCCACTATTTGTAAAAATAATTTTAAAAATAGTCACCCCTGTATAGCACAGGGAACTGTTCAATATTTTGTAATAACCTTTAATGAAAAAAATATGAAAATGAATATATTTATAAATATTCATGACTGGGATATTGTGCTGTACACCAAAACCTGACACACTGTAATTGACTGTACTACAGTTTAAAAAAAAAACTGTTGAAAATTAAATGAGATTGTAGGAAAGACCCCTAGCAGAATGTCTGGCACATGGAAGGGTCTTAATATAATCTCAATTCCCTTCCCATCCTTTCTATGAAAAAAGTAATGATCCAGGGAGATTTGGCAACGCACACAGGTCACTTCCAGTAACGGCAATAACAACTATGAAGGTAAGAAGTCTGTGTCTACTGGAACATAGATGATTGAACGGCACAACCATGAAAGTTGAATACTTCTAGATGAGTGGGCATATCTGTGTAGACATGGAGGCACCATCACTTAGAGTTCTTTTGCTTATAATGTTATGATGTTATAATATAATGTTATAAATTGTTATAATGTTATAAATTGTTTATAATGTTATGTTTTGTTATAATGTAACTAGCATTACACTGCTGCTCCCCTCTTGACAACCTCTATTTGTCAACATATCTCAGATTTATAAAACTATTACTCCTTCCTTCCCTATTTGGGACCCAGGCCACTCAATCTTCAACGAAGGAATTATCTAGAAGGTTAGTGATTGGCTTAGGCTAATCCTGCCACACCCCACTACTGCCTAGACACAAACAAAAATGGAAATTTATTAACTGTTTTCAAAGACAACCTTAGCTCCGGCTATGAAATATAAGAACCAGAACAGCTGGGTGATCCTGACAATAAAACTGCAAGTTTTTAGTAACACATCTACAAGATCTCTAAAACCAAATATGGCCCAAGGGTGGGGAGGTAGGAAGGGTCAGAAGGCTGGTATAGCCAGCACAAATGTAAACACAGGTAGTTTGGTCATGTTACCTTTCACTACAGCCATGGTCGCACTCTCCTGTAAAGGTGTCTTAAAAGAGTCAAACCCAAAGACCTTCTTCAGCGTGCTCCGAACTCGGCGCTCAGGGTCAAAAGGAGAGGAAGGGTGGGTGCTCATCTTACCGACAGACAGTGGCTAAAGGTTAAGGCAAAGGTGAATGATCATACAGTTTCAGTGAGAACCCTCTGTTCTGCTTCTAAAATATTGCTTATTTTTCTGGGTATAAATTTGCTTTATGACACTCAAACAATGTATTATTTTCAAGTCATATAGCTCCAGGTGAACAGCCTCCAGCAATACATTCCTGGGTAATTAATAGCTCCATTTTTATGCTCATTGAAAATAAAAACATCGAACTATCCCAGCTAATACAGCACAGAACCAGAAATCAGATCACGAGAAGAAACACAAATGTCTTCGGAATAGTTTGGAGAAGGTGGAATTGTTTTTCTAAGCTCCACCCTCTGCTCTAAGCATAGCCATGACGACCATGCTTCCCCCCAGGACCCCGACCCCCTTTCCCATCCCCCAGAGGAGAGGTCTTTCCTTTTCCTCCTGAGCCCCCGACCTGCTCTTTTCTCCCTTTCCCAGCCGAAGCCTCCCCGTCTTCACCCCCAAGATATCACAGCCGGCTGTGGGCCCCCAGGAAAGAAGGGCTCTTGTTGGGCCGCTTCTGCCCGCTGGCTCGGGAACTACTCGAAGACCCCCATTTGCCACAGGCAACTGTGAGAAGCCAGACGCCTGGGAATGCAATGTCAGGTAAAACCCACACAAGCTTGTATCCGTCGCACAGTGATGACGTTACGCTAGCCCTGGCAGGAGGGGGCGGAGCCAGGCGCAGAAACGGCCGCTTTGATTGGTTCCCGGTCTGGAACGGGCGCGGGGTCTCCTGGGATCCGGAAGAACTCGCCTTTCCGCACGGAAGTCGGCTCTTTTGGAGTCATAGGAGAGAGCCGCGCCGGGGCTGTGGGAATAAGATGGCGGGGAAGAAGAATGTTCTGTCGTCTCTGGCAGTTTACGCGGAAGATTCAGAGCCCGAGTCTGACGGCGAGGCTGGAGTCGAAGCGGCAGGCAACTCGGCTGGTGAGGCCCGAGCAGGGAGCTGGAAGGGGAGAATCGGGTGTCTGCTCAGAATGCTGCTTCCCTACCAGGGCGGGAGGGAAAGAGATGGTCATTGCTCCAAGTATCGGGCCCCGAAGCCCCGAAGGGCGCTCAGGGCCTTGGGCTAGACCCACCGTTAGATGCTTTGTAGTAAGAATGGACCGTCTTCTTCCGTTGAGTCGATTATTTTGGCCGAAACTTACTGAAAGTCTCCGTGCTGGGGAGAAGGATGGACGAAGGGTGGAGAGGATACAAGGCTTCTGAACCACTACCTGTTTTCTCTAGGCTTGTTGTTTGGTAGGGGAGAGGGAAACTTTTAAATAATAATGTGCCCTAGACGTTATCTTGGAGCTTTTAAAAATACATGTATCTAATCTCGACTGCTAGAGAGTAATTCTGGAGATCCAGGGAAGGATCTGGGCATTCGTGAGCTCCAAGACTCCTTGGTAATTCCACTACTTTGTCAGTTGTTAAAGCCCGTCGGTGACTTTGTTGCCCTACTGAAGTTGAGAATCACATTAGGAAGTGGGAGCAGATTTATATGGGAGTGTAGAGGGAGGCAGCAAGTTACCCAACATATCTGGGCCTTGGTTTCCTCATCTGAAAAGTAAGGGGGGATTGGACTAGGTTAGCTACTCTTAGTTTTGTGTGATCTCTATCAGTCGGGAGGTTCTCTAATGGTTTCCCAGTAATTTGTATTGTTTTGGGGCTTTCTTGTTTTGTTTTAAACGTGGAAAAAGATTTGTTTCTTAAGTAGGTATGATTGAGAACCTGTCAGAGTGCCCTCTGTTATTAGGGGAGGACACACAAAAATGAGGACACAGAGTCCTTGTCTTACATGAGAAGTTCATTTGTGCCTATGATACAAGTTAGACATGCAGAACGAAAGAAGTCCTTAAACAACTTAGTATAATAGCTAGGAGAAGGAAAGGCTTTAGTTTGCCTAATAAGTGTATTGGAAGCATTAGAAACAATTCAATATTGTTTGCTTTTCTTCCCTGTTCTTTTAATGAATTCATACACTAAATTTTGTGACTTCCAAAAGCAGAATCTGGACCTAAGGTCACTCACATGAGATTCACATTTTCCTTTTATCTTCAGAGATAGTCCTGGCCACTCAAATCACCCAAAGGTTTTTCTTGCATTCTTTTCCCCAGTTACTCATTTCATTTATTTTATTTTATTTTTTATGTTTAAGAAGAGAAAGGCGGATTGGTATCTGAAGCCTATGGAGAGGATGATTTTTCTCGCCTCGGGGGTGATGAGGATGGTTATGAAGAAGAAGAAGATGAGAACAGCAAACAGTCGGTGAGTAAATCTGTTCCCAAATCCAGAGCTGTTCAAAGCACCATTTCGTTTGTCAGAAACTTTCTAAACTGTACCAACAGTGTTCCATTTCATGCCTAATTTCATCCCCCCACCAACCTTTTTGTTTAGTATCAGTTGAGGAAACTGGGATGGACATCAGTAGTTCTGTTTGAAAATCAAATTTGTTTTCACCTGGACCATTTTGTATTAACCTTTGAGTTGAATTTGGGGGGAAAGATAGTGGACAGTTTTATTTAATCCACACATCAATGGGTATTTTGTGTTGGTTTTCCCTGTTTAGATCATTTATTCCATTTGTAACAGTGCGTTCGTCCTAATTGGTTTATCATTTATATCTGCGATCAGATCTGTATTATTTTTAATTTTGGTTGGGGCTCATTCAAATCTCTCAGTTTATTAAAAAGACTAGGAAGGACTTTTTTTTTGGATATCCTTCTTAACTCCTTTCTTGACTTTTTACTTGGCACTTTTTATCAGAATTCTTGATAATAAATCTTGCCTGAAGTTTAGTACCTGCTGATTGACAGAACAGAGAACTTGTGTCTTAAGTAACCAGAAAGACTTTAGATACACTGTCAACCTGAGCATCATGATCCAGAATTTAAAAGTTTGGAGATAAACAGGGATTCAGGCTGGTGCTTAGCACAAAGACATACAAAGTTGAATCTCAGTATAAAATCTGGCTCTTTAGTAACAATGTACTTAATTTGTTTGAATTTTTTTTTATCCATTGATACTTAAACATTAGTATTAAAATGCTTTACAAATTAAACAAAAATGCATTCTGTATTTTCTATTCTTTTAGAAAATATTTTTATCCCCTTAGACCCCCATCCCCCATTACTTCTGATAATTCAGAATTGACTGAAATTGTTTAGAAAAGCTTTGTAAGTTGTTTTCTTTTCCTGACTTCTAAGTGCACATACTGGCTCAACGTCCATAACTATTTTCTTCAGCAAATCTGCATGATGTGTGTTTTTGAAGTGTTTTCCCACATTTACTTCACTTAGAATTTTCATTATATTTAAACTTTATTTCATATTTTAGTAAAAGCCTCCCATCCAATCCCAATGTAGACATTCTAAAATGTGATTGTGTTTGGCTGAGCTACATCTCTGATTATTTAGCACTATGGGTTTCATTTTAAGGAGATTGCATTTAAAACCTGTGGCTCACTGACATCTGGCAGGACAATTAAGTCTCAGAGTCATCAATATAGTTCAAGTCTCTCAGGTGATGTTTATATTAAGACCTGGCGTGCTGTTTAACGGGGGGAGGCAGTAAAGTATAGCTCAGTTGAAAAAAAGCAGTTTCAGAGAAAACTTAATTTTTCCTGGATGTAAAATTACAGCTCCCGTGCATTAGGGTGTGCTGGGTGGTGGAACCGACATGAATACAGCTACCTAACAGGGTAGCTTTCTTTCAATCTTCACTAGCATTCAGTGGACTGGTGGGCTAGCTTCTGTGAGGCCAGGGCACGCTTTGGAAGAGGCCTTGCCTCCATGGTGCTTTGTGTCAAGCAGGCCATTTGGATAAGGAACGAGGCTGGATAGAACGGGGCAATGGCAGTTCTGTGAAAGCTTGGATGGAGGCAGAACCCACTCACCTGGGACCTAGGACAGGCTGGGCATTGCCCTTGAGTCCTGCCTTTCCCAGGTCACTTGCCCTGGTTGTTTGACCCCCAGTTTCCTGCTGTTCATGTTGGTGCAGATGCCGCTGGATTGAAGTGCTGGGGTAGAGTGTGTGGGGGTCATGGCGCTCTGGCAGTGAACAGTGTCACAGGAGGTCTGAGTCTGATGTATTTGTGCACCTGAAAGGCAATTCCTGGTTCGAAATAATTGCTACTTCGTTGGAAATGCTGTGTCTGTTTTATCCGGGGGGGCTAGTCTTATTCTTTTCTCAAGCATATTGCAGTCTTTCTCCATTTTTATGCGTGTGGTTTTTAATCTCAGGCATTTTCATTAACATAGACTGTGGCACTGCTGGAGTAACGACTTTGAGCTGCTGATGTTCTTTTTCCTCTCAGAACATCTCTTTCCCCCCTTCTCTTTCTCTGGAGCCTGGGTCATATAGTCGGGGAGGGGTTCTTGGTGGGATGACCCAGGCTGGGGAAATTTGCTCTGACCCCTAGTTATGCATGTGAGAACCGCAGGCCCACTCCTTTAAGCTTAATCCTCTAAATTCTTTGTCTTGTAGGAAGATGACGATTCAGAGACTGAAAAACCTGAGGCTGATGACCCAAAGGTATTTGGTGTTGGCTGTGGTGGGGTGGCTGGATACGAACAAGGCATTTTAACGTTATGGCTCAGTTCATATGTCTGGTCAAGATCTGTCCCACTAACATAACGTAACCATGTGTAATTTTTCTGGGGTAAACTAGTTTTAAAAGAAACCTGGAGACCCCTCTGGTATGTCTTGAGGCAGCTTGATTTCCAGCCTTGCAGGTCGTGCCACATCCCCAGACTAGAAAGGCGAGAGGCTTGGCTGAGTGCAGCGACCCACCTATGCTCTGAATCCAGGTGGGCTTTGTGGGGTCGCTGCCCCTGCAGGTAGAGTAGAAGTGGGAATGTTTGTAGAATCAGGAAGCCACACGGGCTGCCTCATGTGCTGTGGGTCCTCTTAGTCATCTAGACGTGAAGAAGGGCCCTAGACGGCCAGAGAAAATGAGACCTCTCCCAGCTATTGGGGATGCTGAGCCTAATCCTTGTCTTTCCAGGCTTGCGCCCTTCTGCTCTTGGGTAAATCATACAGAATGATTTGCTTTGAAACAACACAGCCATCTCTTCTTATAGGTTCATCCCGGTAGCAGCTGAGAGTAATTCAGGTATCCTTGACCCTATTGTGGTGAAGGGTAAGACACACGCCCTTCCTCCGTGGTGGGTAGGCTTGCCATACTGTGCGCTGGGCATTAGTATAAGTGTACCTGTTGAGGAAGCATTCTTTAGGGGACAAACTTTTTTTTTTTTGCAAAGAGAGAATAATTCCATCACTCTGGGCCTGGGGTATAGGGACCAGATTTTGTGACTAAAAACTGCTTTAAAACCAGCTAAGGCCTTTAAGGTGACCAGGTGGAATTTAGGAAAACTATCCCCAGTTATAATCTGAAACAGTGGTATATCCTCAAACCTAGCATGAGCTGTTCTAAATTTGAACTGATTCTATGGTTGGGTGCAACTGTGTGCAGGCATAGAAATAAACCTATGAGGGCTGTGGATAATACAGATAAGAGAACATTTTACCAAGAAAGAAAGTTTAGGTACCAGCTTGCAAGAGGGAAAAAAAAAGGGTCCTGGGGACTGAAATGCATGCTCCTTCCTGTGCCTACAGAGGAACCCAGG